CGGGAGCTGGGAACATGGAGCGTCCGGGCCTCAGACAGCGAGAGAAGGCGCCGCACCCCCACAGCACAGGTCCCAGAGCCCAGCCAAGGATGGAAACCCCACTCCCCACCCCGCTTGTGGGGGCCAACCAGCTGCCAGTTACGGGCTGTAGCTGAGCATGCATACAAGCCCCGAGTGGCCCAATTATGCTTCTGAGTAGAGCGCCCTCCTTCCTGGGGTCCCCGAGCTCCAAGCTGGGTCGGGTTTCCTGCAAAGCTGGCGAACGCTGCCTGTGCACCAGGCAGTCTTCCCCACAGCCCTCAGGCCTAGGGCTTTCTCTGGGAAGCTCAGCTGTGGCAGAGCCACAGTTCGGTCCAACGAGCTGGCCTCGGCCTCCCTCGAGGCTCCTGCCCACAGACCCCCAGGGACACGGGCACTGCCGCCCCCTGACCCCCAGCCCCAGGAGCACCCCGAGGAGCTTCCCCCAAGGCACTCCCGGAACTCTCGGACTCCCCCGGAGCTGAACTTCGGGAGAACCCAGGCTCCTGTGCCTGTGGAAGGCAAGGGGGCTGGAGGGGGTGAGTGCCCCAGGCCCCCACGAGTCCTGTCCCTGTGCTCCCCCATCCTGTCGTCACGTCTGCCCTCTAAGGGAGCTGCCCACCCGGGGACTGACAGGGCCCCCAGCCCGTGGCCAGCTCCAACCCCCCCGCCCCCGTCCTGCCCTTCTGTACAGACAGACAGCCCTGACAGCTGCAGGGACTGACGTCGGGGGTCCTCAGGGGCCAGAGCCTCACAGGAGAATCGGGGCAGGGCGGGGGGCGGGGGGGAGGGTTGGACACGAGCCCGGCTGTGAGACTCTGAGGGGCTGGGGGGGAGGGCCGGGGCAGGACAGGAGGGAGAGCTGGGGGGTTTGAGCACGGAGCAGGAAGGCCCCGGGCTGCCTTCCCAAGGAGGTGGAGCCCGACCCAGGAGGAGCCGGAAGCAGCCCAGGCCTGGGTTGAGGGGAAAGGCAGACGTCTAAGGGGTCCTGCCCCACCCGAGGCTGTCAGCACCCCCAGGACTTCGGCAAAGGCTGGGAACAGAGAGCTGGCAGTCAAGTCCCTGTCCCCAGTTAGGATGTTCCTGACACAGACCCTCAGGCCCCCGGCAGCCCTGGGGACACAGACCATCTGGGCAGCATCGCTGGGTCTTGCTGTGAGGCAGGAGCAGAGGTCACCTGACCCTCGTGGCCATGCCCCCTCCTAGACAAGCAGAGCTGGTCCTGCACCCCGGCACCCCCTACCCGCTTTGGAGATGTTCCCTGGGCTCTCCTCCCTCTGGGGCCCTGCAGATGCCTCCGGCAGGTGCCTCAGGCCAGGATCCCTCCTCCGCAGGTGACAGGTCACAGGAAGGACAGAGGGGACCTGGGCTTGCAGGGCACAGGTGGGTGGTCAGGCCTGAGCGAGTGCGGACACGGGGCAGAGGAGGGCTTGGCCTTTGCCCTCTGGGGTTTTCACCTTTAGGGACTTCCTGACAGACAGGCTCCCTCTGTCTCCTGCTTTGGCAGCGCAAATGGGAAAGGCTCTCCCTGGCCAACCAGACAAGACGTCTGAGAAACAGGGCAGGTGGGGCCTGAGGTGGGGGACAGACACTGCGTCCCTTCTGCCAGAGACCTGTTGCCGGATCCCAGACAAGAGAAGGCACAGAGAAAAAGGCTTGCGGGACTTGGGAGCCAGGAGCTGCTTCTGACCCTGACCCACCACAGGTCTCTGCCACGCATCACAGGTCCTCAAGAGTTTTTCCGAGGTCATCCTTTCCACTCCCCTGTCTCCACGAGGAAGTCCCAAACCACCCCCGTGGCTTCCCTCCACCCAAAAGCGTCACTGCCTAGCCTCGTCCAGAGGCGTGCGGACCTTCACCCATGGAGGTCTTGTCCCCCCGCCCAGCCCTCCCAGTGGAGGGGCCAGGGGCAGAAGCACAGCAGGACGCACCCCCAGCTGTGGGCTGGCTTCTCCTCAGATAAGCAGGGAGGAGCTGCTGCCCAGAAACCAGGCCTGCAGGGCGCGGGCCACTTCTCCTTTTAAGGCAGCGTCTGCGTCCTCAGCCCCAGCCCCACTCATTCCTGACTGTTTGGAGGAAATGATGATTAATCAACACCCACTGCCCCCCCCTTGCCTGTTTTTCATTAGGTTCTTTTTAAAGGGCTGGCGCACCCCCTCTGGAGCAGACACGCAGCAGGTCCCAGCCCACGAGGTGTGGGGGATCCCGTGAAGACAGAGAGAGGGGAGAGGGAGGGCCAGAACGCGGACGTGCTGGGGGCGGGCATGGGCACCAGGAGGCAGGCTCACCCCTGCCAGCAGCGGGGATGTGGGGCTTTGCCCCCCACCCCCTGGGAAAGGTCAGAAGTTACATCGAATTGGGGGCCACAAGTGAGACAGGCTGTAGCCTGGGTTCTCCCAAACACGGGGTGAAGCCAGCCAAGCTATCTCTCTGGATCCCCAGGTCCCCCTAGGCGAGGCCTGTGAGCACCGTGGGAACTCTGGGGGTAGCGGGCAGCAAGGCTGCCCATCTGGGGGCCTCACTTCCGTCTGGGGCCAAGGGCCCCGGGCCCAGCCTCAGCCCAGCTCTTCGAGTGGACAGCATCCGTGATGGAGCCACTCTGAACCTGGGGGCAGAGGGGCTACCTGGCCACCTGTAGGTGGGTGGTCTGAGCATCCTACAAGGGCTAACCGCAGACACCCCCTACACACACACCAGGCCCCTCACCCGCCTTGTATTTGCAAGCTTCTCTCCCCCTTTTTGAATCAAGGCACAGTCACACCTGTCCTGCCCAGGCTGAAGCTGCTCTAAAGGGTCACCTGGTTCTGGGAGCCCAAGAATGAGTGGGGGGGTGGGGGGGGTCAGGCCGTACGGTGACCCAGGCCTGTGGGGCAGGAGGGAGGGTGCATTCCAAGGCCGTGGCTCACCAGGCCCCGTGCCCTGCAGAGGAGCCAAGGATGTCGGCTACTAAATACACCCCAGGTCAGTCCCCGAGGGCTGTGCTCCCGGCCCAAGCACATACTGTTTCCAAAGGACTGAGCAGCACTCCAGTTTCCCCTGGGGGTGTGCCCCTGGGGGTGTGGTGGAGTGGGGAGGCTCAGAAAGCCGTGGTGGGCTTCTGGCCCCTCCGCCGCTCCTAGAGACAGCACACCTCCCAGCAGTCAGGCCGTCATCCCCCTGCTAAGGGCACGCGGCATCCAGGCTGCCAGCTGCTCTGGAGTCGATCACACTTGAACAGTAAACCTAATAATTCATCCTCGGCAACTCAGCTGCTCCCATGGCTCTCAGAATAAGGTGTTGACTTCACGCCCCAGCCTCCAGCTCAGCGCAGCAGCCCCCCAACGCCGACCATCTCAGCAGGACCCGGTGGATTCCAGGCTCCTCACAGACAGTGGTGGTCCTTAGTGAAGTGCTTACTGGGAAAAGAAGGGAAATAATGTGGGCTTCTCAAAAAGTCACATATACGTGATATAAAGGAACATCCCATATTGTTACCATCAGGCCACAGTCTTCAGATTATAAATAACCAACCCCTGAAAACTTTGCAACGTCTACACAATTTTTTTTTTTAAGATGCCATATGCACTTGGTTTGCTTTTAAAATAATTAAGTAAAAACTTAATAAGGTCCCTTGGAGAAGGAAATGGCAACCCACTCCAGTACTCTTGCCTGGAAAATCCCATGGTCGGAGGAGACTGGTGGGCTACAGTCCATGGAGTCACAAAGAGTCAGACAGGACTGAGCAACTTCACTTTCTCTTCATAAGGCAGCTGGTTCAGGAGGTTAGCTTCCTTCAGGTACGATGCTGGTCATGACAGATTTGATTTTCTGTGGATTCTGTTGTCTTGGGCACTGCCAGGTAGGTGGTTTGTCGTTTGAGGTCACACTTTGAATCCACACTTGTGGAGTTTTCTGCAGCTCGTCTGGGTCAGCGTGAGGGGCGCTGGGCTCTACCTGGGGGGGCTGTCCCCTTGAGCCCCATGGACGGACTGGCTGTCCCTGTTTTCTACTCTGGACTCCTGCAGGCATCTCCTGATGAAGGAGCTTCACGATAGCTCTGGTGGAAATTTCTAAACAATAAAATATATGTCTCAAACGGAAAACAAACAAAAACAGGACCTGGGAACCAGGGTCTTAGAATGCACCCCTTCCCTCCTCCTGCCCCCAGGCCCAGGTTGGCCACACTGCTGGGGACGCGTGGGGACTGTGGGGTGTAGAGCCCCTCTCCCCTCTCTCTAGAGCCCAGAGCCAGGTGACCCTGCAGAGCGCCTTCCAGGGCTGAGACAGGAGGGGTGGCGGCCATGCCTTGACTCAAAAGGGAGAGAGGTGCTCGAAAATACATGCTTCTTTATTGTTGGCTTCTTATTTCCGTGAGATGAGGATGGTAGGCAGGATCTGTAAATATTCCTAAGTGAGAAAATAAAGTGTGATCAGGCCTTTGTTGCTCTCTCCAACCATTTTTTCCTTTGGAAAGGTCTTGGCTGTAAAGCTCCAGGACCTGAGACTCACTTGACCTCCTGGGAGCCGGGCAAGGCCCCGGGGCTCCTGCCCAGAGCACAGGAAGCAAGGGTGCCTATAAACCCAGAGATCAAGACAACCGATGCATGAATGAGTACTGTAAAAAATCAAATGTCGTGCAAAAAAACCCCAAGACAGACAAAAATGTAAAATCTCAAAGAAAGACAGCAGCAGCCTTGGGGATGTTCCCCTTTGCCTCAGGTTCCAGCAAGGCCGAGCAGGTTCCCTGTCCCAGCTGCCCGAGACAGAGAGGGTGGCTCTGGGCCTGAGGTCTGGGGAGGAGGGCTGCGGACCCCAGGGTTCCCTTCGGGGCCTCAGTAGCTGGCGTTCTGAGTCCGATGTCAGCGGGGGCTCCGCACGCGACCCCAGCCCCACACGGTGCTGTCAGTGGAGACTGTCCGAGTGGTCCCCACGCTGTCCCTGGGCTCCTTCCTCTCTCTCTGCAGCCAGCTCCTCATGTTTATTTTTCTTTTCTGCATTCTTAGGAGGGCAAGCAAGTGGAGACCAAGACAGATGCAAAAAAGGGAGAAGACAAGGGCAGAGATGCTGGCAAGAAGCCCCTGGGCGCCAGACGGGACTCAGACCTGGGGAAGGAGCCGAAGAAGGGTGGCGTGAAGAAAAGTGTCTCGAGGGACAAGGACGAAGCTGACGGCAGGAGTGCAGAGAGGCCCAAGGAGGAGAAGCTCATCAGGGGCCTGGAGAAGGGCCGGGTCAGGGCTGTGGTGGACAAGAAGGAGGCCGGGAAGGAGGGGCCGGCCGCCCCCCAGAAGGATGAGGAGAAGCAGAGGAGTGTGAGCAGAGACAAAGGCAAGAAGGGCGAGCAGCCCGACGCGGCGAGCAAGACAGCGGCGCCCGAGAAGGCCAAGGGGCCGCGGATGGGTGAGGATGCCCGGGCGGAGGCCCAGGAGCCAAAGGGGGGACGTGGGGACAGGGTTGCCAGGTCGGAGGACGAGAAGGCCAAGAAGGAGGAGCCCCGCGAGGCAAAGGCCCCCCGAGAAGACAGCAAGACCCCAGCGCCAGAGAAACCCGCCCCTGGTGCCCCCGCGAAGCCTGCGGACGGGCCCGCCAAGGCTGAGGAGGAGGCGGCCCCCAGCATCTTCGACGAGCCCCTGGAGAGGGTGAAGAGTAACGACCCAGAGGTGACGGAGGTGAACGTCAACAACTCGGACTGCATCACCACCGAGATCCTGGTGCGCTTTGCTGAAGCGCTGGAGTTCAACACGGCCGTCAAGGTCTTCGCCCTGGCCAACACGCGGGCAGATGACCACGTGGCCTTTGCCATCGCCATCATGCTCAAGGCCAACAAGACCATCACCAGCCTGAACCTGGACTCCAACCACATCACCAGCAAAGGCATCCTGGCCATCTTCCGGGCCCTGCTGCAGAACAGCTCCCTGACCGAGCTCCGCTTCCACAATCAGCGCCACATCTGTGGCGGCAAGACCGAGATGGAGATGGCCAAGCTGCTCAAGGAGAACACCACGCTGCTCAAGCTGGGCTACCACTTCGAGCTGGCCGGGCCTCGCATGACCGTCACCAACCTGCTCAGCCGAAACATGGACCGGCAGCGGCAGAAACGGCTGCAGGAGCAGCGGCAGGCGCAGGAGGCCCAGGTGGGGAAGGCGCTGCTGGAGGTGCCCCAGGCCCGGCCCCCTGCCCGGGGCTCCCCCAGGCCCTCCCTGCAGCCACCCTCCAAGGCCACTCCTAAGAACTCGCCAGGCAAAGGGGGTGCCCTGGCTGCACCCCCACCACCACCGCCGCCCCTGGCGCCCCCGCTCGTCATGGAGAACCTGAGGAACTCACTGTCCCCGGCCACCCAGCGGAAGATGGGTGACAAGGCCCTCCCCGCCCAGGAGAAGAACTCCCGGGACCAGCTGCTGGCGGCCATCCGCTCCAGCAACCTCAAGCAGCTCAAGAAGGTGGGCACTGGGCCCGGCCGCGGGGCCAGGCTGAGGGGTGGGCCTGCACCTCCTCCAGGGCATCTGTCAGTCCTCACAGGAGCTTCCTGTAGCCATTCCCTCTGTTTCTCCTGGAAGAGAAGCAGCACCTTCAGACCCTTCCTCCAAGTCCCCCCACCCCCACCCCGCACCGTTCCCCAGGCCCACACGGCCTTTGTTTTCCTAATACCCTCTTAGAACCAGTCAGGCCCTAGGGGTCAGGTTACCCCAAAGGTCAGTCCCTCCCTAGAGAGCCAGCTTCTCAAAGCTCAGCCCCGCGGGTGGCAGAGTCGGGGTCCTCCACCAGGCTGACCCCGCCCCTCCCGACCAGGTCCCTCCTGAGACACAGTGCAACCTTGACTGTCCCCCCAGTCACTGAACAGCATCAAGTTTTTACAGAAAAGGGAAAGGGCCTCCTCTGCCCACAGCTCCTCTGTTTGAGAGCCCAGGAGGAGAGGAGGGCGAGGCATTCCAGGGCCCCCCAGGCCCCCTCCTCTAAGCCGTCTGCTCTGCCCCGACAGGTGGAGGTGCCCAAGCTGCTGCAGTAGGACCGGGCTGCAGGCGCCGCCCGCCACGCCACGCCTGCCCAGGCCCCGCTTCCCAGGGCCGCACGGACCCCGCCCGCCACGCCAGCTGCCCTGCTCTGGACATCCCTGCCCTGCTCTGGGGGAGCTGGAGGCCGCGGCCACTCCACGAAGGGTACCTTCTCCCCTCACTTCTTTCTTGTCTCTGACGCTCTCCACCACTGTCTCATCCCTGGAACTGGCGGTTCTGGACGAGAAGAGTCCTACTAGCACGTGACAGAGAAGACGGCACCCCTGGAGCCTGAGTGGCCGGCCAGCTGCCAAAGGCCTAGGAGCCGGGAAGGGGCTCCCTCACGGGTCATGCGCCCTGTGGGCCCACTGCCCCCAGGGCCAGGATTCAGGCCTCTGAGGAGCCCTGGGGGCAAGGCCGCTGGGCTGGTGGCTCCCCGTGTGGGGCAAGGCTGTTAGACTGGAGGGCCAAGGGCCCGGGGGAGAGGGCGGAGGGGCTGCGGACACCCCACACCCCTCCCCGCTAAGCAGAGGACTTGAGGGGCCTGGCCTGGTGGGGGGTGGGCTGCGGCGGGGAAGAGAGAACAGACAGCCGCTGGACCTGAAGGCTGATGCCAAAGCAGACGTTCCCTCACATTCACCTGCTGCTGTACAGACAGCCGATCTGTCCTCCGTGAGATTTTATAATATATACGAGCCTTCAGATCTGAGTGGCCGTGCCCACCTGGGTGCTGTCCCCAGGGGTCCTGACACTCACCCCCGCTCCGGAAACGCAGGCTCCCGGCCCTGCCAAGCCGTCCACACCAGAGCTCCTCGCAGGGGCCGGCCTCAGTCAGGGGGTGCTGCCCGGGGTCCCTGGTTGCAGCGCCGAGGCGGGCGACGGAGCCAGGACCTCGATGGCCACATGAGGCGAGCGGTCCGCGCCACTCCGCGCCCCTCGGTGCGGGCTGGGGGCCGGCGCCTCGAGCAGCCCCGGTCAGGAGGGCCGGGGGTGAAGTGACCGCGGGGCAGTGCCCAGAGGGTGTGCCCCCTGGCCCGCCTCCCACTGCCCAGACGCCAAGGGCGTCTCTCGGCTTTGGAGCCGTGCCGGGCCCGGGGCCCCGTTCCCCGCGTCCACCACGCGCCTGACCCCAGGAGCCCAGTCAGGGCCTGAGGCGACGCCTGCACGCGGTCCCCGCCCCCGCCCGCCTGTCCGTGAGGCGGACCGACGGCGGACACGGCAGGGCTGGAGTTGGACTCCCACCCGACCACACTGCCCCGCGCCGCGCCCAGGGCCTCGAGCCCTCGCGGGGCCGCCGCTTCAGGGCGCGACGCTTCCGAGGGGACGACCCCTCACGGTGTGCCTGGGTGTGGGGCTAGGCCCCGCCCTCCGCCTGCTCTCCCGCCTACGTCATCCCCCGCCCCTTCCACGCCCCCCGCAGGCCGTGTCGTCCCCCTCACTTCCCCCTTCCCGCTCCTCCCCCGGCCCCCGAAGGCGGATGACGTCCCCGTCACATACCCTCCCCCACGTCCCCCTACCCCTGCGGCCCCCGCGGGTTGGGTCGATGACCCTCCCCGCCCCGCCCCCTCCCCCCGCAGGTTGATGACGTCATCCTCCCCCGTTCCTACCCCTCCCCCTCGCAGGCCGATGACGTCCCCCTCCTCGGGCGGCGGCGCGGCGCCCCCTGGCGGAGACGCGGCCCGGCCTCGCGCGGCTCGTGGAAGGAGGGCGGGCGGCTGCACCCGGCGCGGCCCACCCCGCGCCTGACCTCAATCAGCTGGGTTGAGGGTAGGGGTGGCTAGGCGGGGCCGAAGCCCTAGCTGATGGGTCCGGATCCAGACCTGTGCCGGGGTCCCCAGCCGCCGCACCTTCTCCGCACCCCGCCCGGGGGCCCGCGGAGCCCCAGGCCCCGCCCGCCCGCGGGAAGAGCGCCCGGACAGGGGCGGTGTGCACGGGCCCGGGGGTTCCGGGCTGCAGGGCCCCTCGGCCCGCTCGCTGTGGCCGGGCCTGGGGCCCAAGGCCGCTCAGGCGCCTCCTCTAAGAGGCGAGAGATCCGCACGCGGGTCACCCACCAGGACCACTCTGCCTGGGGAGCCAAGTCGGGGCGGCCGGCTGGGGAGGTGGGAGAAGGGGAGGCGCCGCCCGCCCCACCGGGCACACCCTTTTCCGGCCTGCCCTGCTCCCTGCTCTGCCCGTCCGGCTCTCAGCCGCCTCCTCCCGCTCCTGACCGCGCCAGCCCCCGTGCTCCGCTCTCTTGCTAACCCCTGGCCCTCGACCCTGACTGTACGTCCAGGCACCTGGGCCCTGCTCCCTCCCTGCCGTCCTCTTTTGGACTTAGGCTCCCCAGCACCGCAGGCCTCGCTGACCCCAGGATAGGGGCCACTGGACTTTGTGTAACACACTCCCCCTCCCACCTCCGCTTCCCAGACCACCCCCCCCCCCCAGCATCCTGCTGCTTCCTCTGAGCTGAGCAGGATCCCCGCTTATACCACTGCTGACCCACCCCCTGAGGGTCACGGCTCCTTCCACCCAACACCACCTTGTAGGGCGACTGCCAGTTTTCAGGGGTGCTAGGGGGAGCAGCTGTGCGTGGTCCCCAGGTGAGAGGTTGGGTCTCAGGAGACCAGGGCGTTGCCCTGTTTACCAGCTAGACAACGTGAGGGGCCTCCTCTCTGCTGCCACCACATGAAAGCTCCACTCCTGTACGGTTTCCCCCTTTTTTCTTGAAATTCTCTTTTTTTGCAGTGCTTTGCAGTTAATTGATTGGAAATGTTGGAGGGAGGGGGTGGGGGGCTCTGATTGGGATAAATAGCCTCCCATCCTAGACTATGGAGCAATTTCTAATTGGCCCCAGGCTGCTGACTTAAGGAAGTTCATTCTGGCTGGCATGGCCCTGCATTCATTAACATCTCATCTTTCAGGGAAATGCAGAAATCTTGTCCTGCAAACCTCCACCTCCCAGCTTCAGGACAGAGAGAGGGGCTGTCCAAACCTTGGGATGACCTGGTGACCCCTCTCCCAGCATGCTGGCAGAAGCTGTGGCCTGGAAGCCAGGACACCTGCAGCTCACCTCTCATCCCCCTCCCCGGGAAAGGTGGACTGGCAGCACAAGCTTCCCCTCCACCCAGGTCTGGGCCTGGCCCCAAAGCAGCCGGCCCAGAGCTCCCTGGCCCTTACCATGAGAAGAGAGCCTCCAGCGGGCCCTGGGCGCGGCCAGCACAAGGGCCTGACCGTCCAGACCAGGCCGCGGCACCCTGAGGCCTAGGAAATCAAGGAGCCAGCAGGTTGCAGTGGGGCTGGAGGACGCACAGCTGGAGGGAGGGGGACTGACAGTGGGCTTGGGAGGGGGTGAGGGGCTTTCCAAGCTGACTTGGTGCTTTCCTTGCGTGAATTAAAGTCTATCGAGTTTCCTTTCCTGGATCTGTCACCAGGCCAGGGAGCGGGAGGGGACCAGCCTGACACAGGAGAGGCACTGAAGTCGGCCTGGGGGGGGTGGGGTCTCATGTCTTGGGCGCCCTTGATGCTCTGTGGTCGCTGACAGCACCTGCCCAGCCGGGCTCCTCTCAGCTGCTGGTCCAGGGAAGGCCCTCTGACGAGGAAGGGCAGCCCCAACAAGCTTCCTGTACCCCCGAAGCAGCGCCCCCATTCTACAGATGAGGAAGCGGAGACCCGGCGACCTTGGGAAACACACACCTAGGTCAGTTGGTGGGGGACAAGCGCGAGTCCAACTGTCTCAGACGGGGGGAGGGAGGTGCCTCCCATGCGGGACCCACGTGTGGAATCTGGGACCCTGAGGACCCGTCTCCCCGTGGGGGCGAGATCTGCCTCCCCAGCTCTGGCAGCCTGGCACCCCTCAGCCAGGGCTTCTGCCTGTGCTCGGGCACTGGCCCTGCCCTCCCCTGCGGAGCCAGGAGGTGTGGACAGCCCAGCGACGCGGCCAGCAGGAGTTATGTCACCACAGCTTTAATCCCCCGGAGTGCGGCCTGCGGAGCAGCCAGGGGGGCTTCTGCCCACGGCTGGTGGAGCCTCCCCAGCCCCAGTCCACGGCAGACAAACAGGAGGGGCCCAGCCTTCCTGGCCCGGGGTCCTGGGAGGAGAAGGGCTGGAAGAAAGCAGGGGCCATGCAGGCTTTCCTGCCCTTCCCCCACCCCTGATAAAAATAGTCCGAGTGTCCCAGGCCCTCCCTCCCCGCCCCTCAGTCACGGCCAAGTTCCAGCTCAGCTCCTGTTCCTCCTCCCTGGGGCTCCGTTCCCAGAAGGTCTCAGGGTGCGGCTGGGCCTGGGGCCTGGCGAGCAGATGCCCCTGCCCACCCCCGGGGCCGGGCGGAGGCTCAGTCTCCTGAGAGACGGCAGAGACGCAGCTGGCTCCTCAGGCTCCAGGGTAGGAGGGCTGGGGTGGCATGTACGGGGGAGGAGCTGGAAGCCAAGGAGAGGTAAGGATCAGGGCGGCACAGGAGGGCGCGACCCAGGCTGCAGGACCCCCAGGGCAGAGCAGGCAGGAGGAGGGGCCCACTCACCTGCAGGGTTGTAGACGGGGGGTCCCGCCGGGTAGAGTGGATACTGGGGTGCAGGACCGCTGGGTGGGTACATGAAGCCAGGCTGTGGGGGTGCGGGGCCGGCTTTGGGGTCCTGGGGGTATGGGTACACTGGCTGCACAGGGACGCCTGTCATGGGGATCTCCTGGCCTGGTTGGGGGACAAGGACCGGCACTCAGGGCACCGCCTCCATGGGACGCCGCCCCCACCCCTCTGGCCCAGGGGGTCCTGCTGCCTCTGCCCCCAGACCCTGTTTGGCAGAGTCCAGCAGGGTGCCCGGAGGTGGCCTCTGCTGGTTGGTCTGGGGTCAGCAGTGTGCCCGGTCAGGGTTTCAGAGACCTCCTGGGCCAGACAGCACTGGCCTGGGGGGCGTCCTAGGCCATATCCTGGGCCAGGACATGGCCGCCCTGGCCTAGCAGAGCTAGGCCCACACTGACCCCGACACGGGGTCACCGTTCCCACACCCACCAGGCCTGGGCCTGTGTGCAGGCACCCGTCTTTTGCACATGGAGTGCACTCGATGTTGCTTGCGCTCCAGGCCCAGTCCATGCGTTTCCTGAGAGCCACATGCACACGCACGGCACACAGTGCAGGTACATCCATGTACCGAGGGTTCACACGTGTCCCTGCGCTCTGGCTTCTGGGGCGACAGGCGGGCAGGTGTGTCCAGAGGGGCCTGCAGCTGCCAACCACACCTCCTGACCTCTGATGCCCTCCGAGGGCACCCCCGCCACTTCCCGCGTGGACAGATGGACGGACGCACCTTCGAACGGGCTCTGCAGCTGCTGGCGCCGGCGGTAGAGGTAGCAGCAGGAGCAGAGGAAGCAGCAGATGGTGGTGGCGACCACGGCCACGAAGAGGATCACGGCCGAGGCGATGCCCGCTATGGTCTTGGGACTTGGACAAAGAACAGGTCTCCTCACCTTCCAGCCTCACGCGGGGAGTCCTCACCATGCTGACCGCCATGCTGGCTTCGACCCCCGGCCAGAGGGACACTGGGCTCTGCCCGCCCTGCTGGGGAGAGCTTCGGGACCGCGCTTCCCCGAAGGCAGGGCGGCCTCCTGAGCAGCAGCCTCCCCGGAGGGGCTGCGGTGTGCACCCAAGCCCATGACTGAACAGCCTGGACTCCAACACAGGAGGCCTGACGGGCAGAGCTCACCTCTCAAACGGTGCTGTGTCTTGGTCACCGCCTCCCCATGCGTGCTCTGTCAGCGCTCCCTCCTCGCAAAACAAGTTTGAGAGCCCCTTTTGTGCGCCCCCTTCATGCCACCTGGGACCTGTCGTCCCCAAGATCACACAGCTGGTGAGCGGTGGACTGGGGATCCTACCAGTCTGGCCAGAGGCCAGAGCGCCGCTGGGCCTGGGGCTGCCCCTGCCCCCGCCCTGCGCAGGCCCGGGGCGGGGGAGGGCCGGGCCCAGCCCGCGATGACCACATGACGGTCGCCGACCTGGCCCCTCCTGGAGCTCCTGCGCCCTGGAGCTCCAGCCCCGCTTCGGGCCCAGGCAGGGTGTGGGCTGAGGCCGCGGAGCGGGGTGGGTGGGGGAGGGGAGGGCCGGCGCCCACCTGAAAGCCAGGCAGTGCTTCTGCTGCCTCTCGGTGATGAGCAGGCTCAGGTCCCGGCAACAGTACCGCTGGTAGCAGGTCCCGCAGCAGAAGGTGAAGAACTCGCAGTTGAAGCCCGGATGCCAGGAGCCATTCCGGTCCAAGTACCACAGGCAGTCCTCGCCAGCCAGAGCTGCGGGCAGCGGCGGAGGTGCCCAGTAGCCACTGAGCCGGGTCTCGGGCCGCCCCAGCCCCACTCCACTGCCCGGAGCTCCACCCTGGTCCCTGCGCCTGGACACCTCGGCCTCGACCCCCAGGGTTGGGGCCCCCTATCCAGCCCCCGCGCCCTCTCGCCTCCCCTCCCACGGACCCCGAAACGCCCAGGCTCCGCCGGGATCTCCCGGGCGCCCCCGGGGCCGCGCGTCGAGGCCTCCCGCCGCGCCCTGCGTCCCCGGCCCTTACCCAGGGGCGCCCCCAGCACCAGGAGCGCGACTCGAGCCGCCCCCGCGGCCCACCCCGCGCAGGCGGGCCGCTGGGCCCTACTCGGCCCGCTCGCTGCCTCGCCCGTCGGCGTCCCCGCCCGCAGAAGCCCTGCTCCTGATGCCACTTCCAAGCGCTCAGGCGCAGGGGCCACCCCTGACGCAGGACCTCCTCTGCCCAGCGTCCAGCAGGACGTCCTGCGGCGGTGGCGGGGAGGAGACTGGGGGGCCGGGAGTCACCCCACCCCCACCCCAGAACACAGGCGCCCATTGAGAGGCCGCTCAGAGCAGCTTTGTCCCCGCAGGCCCGCAGACTTGGACCCTGTCAGCTGCGCTGGCTCCCTGAGTGCCCCTTCCCCCTCCGAGTGGCCAGCGCGGACTTGTGCCAGCCTAGGGCCTCCCAGTACGGATGGCAGGCCTCGGGGGCTGCCTGGGCCCATCCAGTCGGATGCCCTTGGCAGTGGAAACCCCTTTCTCCAGAGAGCGACCCCACAGAGAGACTGCGGTGGGGCAGAGCATAGGGTGGCCCCCCAGTGGGCATAGTCTCCTTGCAAGTTTGTCAGTGGCTGTGCCTCTGCTCTGGGGGCACCTGATCGGGAATGTGCAGGGGCCTAAGCTGGGGAGAAAACCCAAAGCCCCCTTAGCCCCACTGTGTGTGGCCCTCAGGGTGCTCGGACAGACTCCTCCTTTGGGGCTCCCCAGAACCCCATGAGCTAAATCAAGCTCACTGGTGTTATCAGTTCATTTTATAGACATAAGCTGGGACTCAGGGGAGTTCAAGGATTTGTTCAGGTAATAGAGCCCGTAAGTGGGAGAGGCACTCTCAATCCAAGTGTCTTCACCTTCTGAATGGGTGAAGGTGTCTGCAAATGGTATATCCTGTAAGGGTTAATGTCCAAAATATACAAGGAACTCAGACGACTCAACATCAAAACAAACAAACAAACAAACAAACACATCCACAGAAGACTTGACTAGACATTTTCCCAAAGATGGACAACAGGCACATGAAGAGATGCTCAGCATCATGGACCATCAGGGAAATGCAATTCAAAACCGCAATGAGGTGTCACCTCACACCTGTCGGAATGACTGTCTTCAAAGAGACAACAAACAGCAGCTTGGTGAGGATGCAGAGAAAAGGGTCACACCCTGGAGCATTGTTAGTGGGGGTATGAATTGGTGTGGGCACTGGAAAACAGTACGGAGGTGACAAAAAAGAATTACCATACATTTCGGCAATCCCACTCCTGGATATTTACCTGAATTCAAATTCACTAATTTTGAAATACATATTTCAAAAGATATATGCACCCTTCCACTCACTGCAGCATCATTCACAGTAGTCAAGATATGGAAGCAACCTAAGTGTCCATCAACAGATGAATGGATAAAGAAGTGTAGGGATAGGCAATGGAATGCTACAAAGCCATAAAAACGACTTCCATAGTGGTCCAGTTGTTTAGACTCTGTACTCCCAATGCAGGAGGCCCAGGTTCCATCCCTTATCAGGGAATTAGGTCCCAGGTGCTGCAACTAACTAAATAAATACTTTTTAAAGAGAACAAAATGTTGCCATTTCCAACAGCAGGCTGGACCTGGAGGGTATTATCCAAAGTGAAACCAGTCAGAGAAAAACCAGTAGTGTAGGATATCACACATGTGGAATCTAGAAAAACAAAAACAAAAAAACCCAAAGGAGCAAACATGAAACAGAAATAGAGTTGTAGACACAGGGAACCAAGAGGTGGTTAGCAGAGGTGACAGACCCTCATGGAAGCTGTGGAAGGGTACAAACTGCCAGTCACACTGGTGTGCAGCATGCTCAGTATAATGGACGCAGGGTCAAGTCAGAGCAAGGTCTGGGGCTGCATGGTGCTCAGTGGTAGGGAACCCACCTGCCAGTGCCGGAGACCCGGGTTCAAGCCCTGGCCGGGAAGACCCCACACGCAGCGGAGCAACGAAGCCCGTGCACGGACTGCTGAGCCCCAGAGCCCACGCTCTGCAGCAAGAGGAGCCCCTGCGGTGAGGGCCTGAGCTCGACAACTAGCGCGTCGCCCCACTCTCCCCAGCCAGAGAAAAGTCTGCACAGCAACGACGACCCAGCACAGCCAAAAATAAATCTTAAACAGAGTGAAGTCTCGAGTGCCCATCACGAGGCTCTGTCAGTCCCGGGCTCCCACCCCCAGCAGCAGATGGCGAGTGTATCCAACATCAAGGCATGGAGGCCCAGCAGAACCTGAACAGGCTGGAAGGGTGGCGGGGGCAGGCGCGGCCCTCTCCTGGCCCCACAGGTGCTGGCACCCCCCAGGAGAGCAGAGGCCAGGAGAGGGTCTGCTCCCGCCCAGGACGTGGCTGCTTGTCTGATGCGGGCCGGGGGAGCGGACGTCTGTCCTGACGAAGGACGAAGCCATAAATGCCGCAGAGACGAACGGACACAGAGAGCCCCTGGCTTCCCACACCCAGCAGCACGTCCGCGCCTCAGGCACGCACTCCGTGAGGGCAGGGACCATGTGGCCCTGTGCTCCCTGCCGTCCCCAGCCCTCACTGCTGGGGCCCGACTGGCAGATGGGGGGCTATCTCTTCCTTCCCGGGTGGACATGCCCACCTGAGCCCAGAGCCTGTCTGACAGGGGTCCTTTCCAGCATCCCTTCTCTCTGTGCCTTTGGTTCCTCTTTCCTTAGGAAACAAAAACTCAAGTCTCTCCTATTAAAATGAAACAGAGCAAAACAAAGCAAAAACACGACCACGTTTCCCAAAACCCCTCCCTTTCTAGCTGTGTGTCTGTTTTTCACCCTTTTTTCTCCACCTAGTTCTCAAAACTTACATGCCTGGTTCCAGCTCACCAGGACAGCAATGATTTCCTAATTGCAAAATTCTAGGAAAACTTCTCAGCGCAGATGATGGGAGGTGATCGGACAGGTGAGAGGGGAGACCACGGTGGGGGTGGGGGTGGGGTTGCTTTTCAGTAGAGGGGATGGGGTGTGGAGGGTGATGACACCGGCGATTCCGCAGGTGAGCGTGTCCCGGCGTACCCACGAGGACGCCGGTGCTGGAAGAACTTAATTTGCCCCGTTCCCAGGCTAGGGTTCGGAGTTGGATTTCTGTGACTTCAAAACCCAAGCTGGTCCACTCGTCCTTCTGCCTCTCCCAGATCAGGTCTGAACTGCTCTGAGCCGGGCCTGGCGTGTGGGGCACGTCTGTGGGCAGACCTTGGGGTGGGAAACCCAGCCAGCAGGGGTGGGAGGAGCGGGACCATGACCCAGTTTGGGCCTGGCCTGGGGCTTCAGCCTCAGCATCTGCTGAGTCATCCCGCAGCCGGACTGAGTGGCTGGCTGGGCCTCCTCCCCACCCGCCTGACCCGCTTCTTCAGGTCAGGGCAGACAGAATGGCATCCCTGGGGGCCCCGGGCCCTGGGGCGTCCACCTCTCCTCTTCAGGAGAGCCCTGTGGATACCCCCTCCCCCGTGGGCCTCTGTCCACCCAGCTCCTGCAGAGAACTACACACTTTCCTCTGATACAGTCTCATTGCACCAAAGGAACAGGCGCTCACTAGCTCAAAATAAACACACGTTTCTCCTTCATCAGGAGGCTCTCCTGGTGTCCAGCGTGACTCGTGCTTGCTGTGGACAGAAGGTTATCCCTGGGTCAGTCCTTGGAGGCGGGGGGCGTGGGGGCAGCCTGGCAGGAAGGGCACCGAGTGCCAGGCGTCTCTGTGGGGCCCAGGGGGTCTGGGCTGAACCCCGGCAGCCTCAGGCCGCGGTGGGGCAGCCGCTGGCCAGCCCTAGGTGGCTGTGGGGGCTGCCTGCCGGGGGCCTGGGGGGGGTACCAGGTCACCTTCAGGTGGCATCGTCCTGGGTCCGCGGCTGGGCTGATGAGCGCTGTTTTGGGGCCGAGGGGAGGAGACCAGGAGGCTCTGTTCGTGGCAGTTCTGTCTGTGCCCACTCTCTCTCCTGGGAGGTTTGCGGACACGGGCGTCCGCCCGCACTGACCCTTCCCACCGAGCTCTATTTTCAGCTGAGTCCCGTGTGAGCCCTCTGCGAGGTGGGCATGGTAGTCGTCCTTGCGAGTCTGGCCATGTAGGGCCGGGCTTGGGTGCTGTGGCTGGCGGTGCACTGGGGGCCAGGCTCATCACCGCCCCACTCCACCGGGCACGGGGTGGCCATGTTGGAGTCCGTGCCCCCGGCGCACGGCTCCCCAGGATGGACTGGTCACGTCCGCTCACCCTACGTGGCCGTGGGGGTGGAGGTCCTGGCCGGGATGCAGGGGGGAGCCTACTCGGAACCTCTGGCCAGAGCAGAGGAGTCCGACCCGCCCCTCGGGCCTCAGCTTCCAAACTTGTAAGCGCAGGGGGTTCAGTCGGACCCCCCACAACTACAGGTCAGCCCGCTGGGGGGCTCTGGTCCTCTCTCTGCGTGTCCAGTGGGAGATTTGTGGGAGGGCCCTGGCAGGGCCTCGGTGGACCGGCCTCCTGCCCAGCGGGTGAGCCCAAGGTCAGGAAGGGAAGCCAGGCTGAGGAGGGACGCGGCCACAAATCCGGGGGCAAGGAACACCACACCTCTTTCCCTTCCGTCACCTCAGGTCAGACAGCCTCTCCTCCCAGCTGGCGAGCAGCTCAGGCCGTGGTCCCTAGTTTGCTCCCCTGCCTGCCAGGGTCACACGGTGCAAACTCGGGGCAGGGGTGGTAGGGCGCTGTCGAGGGCCCGGGGGTTGCACGTCCAGCAGCCTCCGTTTGTGCGACCCAGGCACAGGGACCCTCCAGGGAGCCCTGGTGCCCGGCTGGCGTTGGGCCCCCAGACTTCTGTCCCCTTCCTTCTGGGAGCCCTCTTCCTCCTCTTTCCCTCCCTCGCTTCCCCTAAGACCCTGGACCTAACCTTAGTTCACTCAGGGTTTTAACCTAGCATCCAGAAGCAGGTTATTGTCAAAGAGTTCTGCTTTCCCCCTGCAAAAGCAACTAAGGCAAGGAAATGCAAAGAACTCGGCCAAGTTCCTGGAACACGTGGAGGGGCAAAAACCTAGTGAAAGCAGATTAATACAATTTACAGCGGCATGCAGATCCCCTGGAAAAGCTCCGCTCATCAGGTGGGACTCTGGAGCCATCCCCACAAAGGCTCCCCAGGGCCATAATTCAGCAGCAGCAGGTGTGAGGTGAGCTGAGTCACTGTAACCCAGGGAGTCAGGGAGACCACCCCACAGAGCTCCGAGCAGCTGGAGGGCGGGGAGAGGAGAGCCTTCCAGCCTGAGCCTGCGAGCCCAGAGTCCAGCCGTCTTCACCTGCAGCCACAGCACCAAGGCAGGGTGAGTTCTCAGAGAAGGCGGCAGGATGGGAGGGCGGTGCTTCCAGCCCTGACTCCATCTCTGCGCCTCCACCTGCAAACAGCGTGGACAGGTCCCTGGTCTGCAAGGCCAGGGCTGACCCTGGCACAACACAGGTCTCCACTGCACAGCTGAACGACAACGCAGGCTTTCTCCACCAGAAACTACAGGGCCACCCCTCCCCTTGTCCTGCGTTGGCCGAAATCTCGGATACAGAGAACCCAGGGCCGCTTGTAAGTTCTATGTGGGCTTCTGACTGTCCCTAACTCCCCTCATCACGGTCAAGGGTCCTCGGCAGAGGATCTAGGTGAGGTCACAGGTGACAGAGTAGCCCTGATGTCTCGTGCTTCTGACAGGTGGGCAGCTGTCAGCCACCTCCCCCACCCATCCCCCGAGAGAACCGCCTCTGCCCTCCTCTCGGGCAGCAGGCACTCAGCCCAGAACTGATGTATCTGGTCAGGTCCCCACGGCCCCTGGCTGCTTCTCGTTCCCAGCTAGACTGGCTCCTGGTGGAAGGGGCCCTGCACGTGAGAGGGGCTTGGTACTTGCTGGAACGCCCTGGAGCCAGGAGCCAGGAGATGGCTGTGTGTTCCCATCTCCTTAGTGACCAGGGGCCTGGCAGACGCCTTCTGAGCACAGGCCCCTTTAAGCTTCCAGAGCAGAGGCCTGTCTGCTGGGCTCCCTCAGCCCTTCGAGCCTCTTTCCTCGACCTGACCTGAGTCCACCGCTTGGCCTCCCCCCTGAGGACGTGAAGCCTCTGCCACGCAGTCCTGGCTGGGCAGCAGGCCAGGACAGAGCGCTGCGGGCCCGCTGCAGGCACAGGAAGGCTGAGGTGGCCCAACAGGGCCCCGGACGCCGTGCCCTGACCCCAGCCTCAGTCTACACGGGGGCTTTATAGACGCGTGGACAGCTCCTGCCACGACGCTGGTTATGGGCACAGGATCGTGCGAGTGTGGCTCTCTACGCTCTGGAATCCTGGGTGTTCTCACAGGGACTCTTGTCAACCAGCACCTTTGGGAACAGCTTACACAGAGGTTCTGCCCTCATCTGCTCTGGCAGAGATGCTTGGATTCTAAGTTAACAGCCTTCCCAGGGACTCCCTGTTACCGGAGAACCTGATCGGTGTCCCCCCCCTTGTCCAGCACTTACTTCTGAAAATGACCTCAAACCGTCTTCTGGAAGATAAGGCGTGAAAAGACCCCTCATAGGCCACTTCCAGGACGGGGGCCAAGGGCAGAGCACCCTGGGGCCCGCTACAGACCACCCGACGGCTCCTCTATGGTCAGAGCTGGTGGCCAGTTGTTGCTTGCTTTCCTATGTTCTTGATTCACCTCATCCAGACTTTATCTGGTCTATCAATAAAACCAGACACCGAGGCCCGTTTGGCATCGTGTGCTCTAGTCACCTTCATCCTTCATGTCTAGGCCCTTGCGGGCCGGCGTCTCGGGGCAGAATGGGAGCTGGACTCTTACGTCCTTTCCGGCTCCCATCCCCTCCTCCCCACCGAGCTCTGTGAGGCCCAGTGCCTTGGCCAAAGACCTTGGTGTCCTGGCCACTCTCCTCCAGGGACAGGGGGTCTGGAGGACCTCAGCCAAGGGTGCCTATTTCTCAACTTCTCACCTTGAACCTCCAGTCCTTCAAGCCACGGAGCCCCACCCATCCTACACGGAAGCTAGTTCTCTTTGGCCAAAGAGATGGAAACGAAGGGGGAGTCAGAGGGTAAGGACCACTGGCCTCTGGGAGGTCTTTTCCATTCCCTACCTAGTGGATGTAGCCCCTGAATACTCTTCCTCGTCAACAGAAGGAAAACACATCTGTGCCCCTGCTGTAAAGGTGAATGGGAAACAGGAAGGGCCTGCATGTCAAGGGCTCCGGGGAGCTCAGCGGGAGGGGCTGGGGCCAGACTGGCAGCCCTGCTGGGAACCTGCCCCTCCGGCTTCCCACTCGGGGCAAGGTGGGCGCTGACCAGCAGGCACACCTGCTGGCACTGAGACCTGAGGCCCCTGCAGCAGCTCCAGGGCCCTTCCCTGAGAACAAGTCAGCTGCACTTGCAGCCCCGCCCTGCTGTGAGACCACCGCCTTACGGAACATTCCGCAGCTATTCAACATGGGCACTGGTGTGGGCACGACCAGAAAGGGGGTGCAGGGCCAGTGGCTCCGTCTCTAGGAGGCCCTTCCTGGGGGCTCAGCCACAGTCCGCGGAGCTGTGCCCGGCCTACCCTCACCTCGCGGCTCCTCTGGGAGGCAGGAGGCAGTGCCGACACCCGAGAGCATGCAGACCGCACTCGTTTGTAAAGATCACTTTACTCTCCTAGAAAAATACACATTGCAAATGTGAGGGCCACAACGTCCCCACCTTGGAGGGTTCCTGAGGGAGAGGGACAGCCTCGGCGTCAGGCTGTGTGTGGGGCGTGTGTGCAAGAGGCATGTTAAATATGGTGGGGCAGGTGGACTTTTAAAAAAATTTGTTTTTCCATTTTTTTTTTTTTTTCTAAAAAAGGGAAACTGAATTGCCATCGGTCTGGCTAACCTCGTGTGCGTGCATGTACGAGGAACAGCGTCGGGGAGGGGCTGTCATGCAATGATGCGAAACCAAGACGGCCTCCTTGGACGGGGACTCTCAGGGTTGCAGGAGGAGTGGGGTCTCTGGGGGGCTCCCCTCAGCCCCGAGACCAGTGCATCCACGGGGGAGGGCAGAAAGCCCACTTCCCTGCGAGGGGAGTCGGAGCGGAACATGTCAGATGGCCTATCAAACACCAGGTTTGTCCTAGAAGACGAACGGTCGTGACTTCCTGTGCTCCAGTGGGGGAGCCACAGCCACGAACGCGATCGCGCTGGGCAGTGTGCTCTGGCCTGGCTGGCAGAGGCCTGCAGCGCAGAAGGGCACCGGCGGGAGGAGCCGGCGCTCCAGCGCACGTCCTGCGAGGCACAAGCCGCCAGGCCTCGACTGTCGGCGTCGCCCTGAGGCTGCTACTGCAGGCTGAGAAGAGAGTCCCGAGGCCAGGAAGGGCTGCACGCGGCCCGGGCCCTCAGATGCCGATGGTCTGCAGCACCCTCCTCTCACTGTCATTGAGGTGGCCTGAAAACATCACGTAGCAGGGCTGCTGGGCAAACTGGCAGAGGAAGTCTGTGAGATACGCCTAGAGGGCGGGGAGAGAACGCCTGAGGGCCGCAGCCAGGGCGGCCCAGGTTAAATCTCGAGTGCCAGAGGCTACCCCGGGACTCTGACAACACAGCTGCGGGAAGCTGGATTCCAGCACTGGGTGAACCTGAGGGGCAGGGTGCCCCCCAGCCTCAGCCTTGCTCAGTGAGCCAGACAGAATGAACCAAGAGGCACGAGAGGAACCAGGTGGGAGCAGAGGGCACCGGGGGGAGGAGGGGGNTGCACAGGCGCACACCTCCCCTCCCACCAGACCAGCCAGGACAGAAGGCCCCGAGGGTCTCTGCGCTGCAGCCCTAGTCCCAGGGAGAACCAGGGGTGAGCAGATCCGGAAGTCTGACTGAAAGCTGACTGTGCTGGTGGGCGGGAACAGGCTGAGAGGCTCCTGAGAGAAGTCAGGTGGGAAGGGCGGTGCCGCAGCAGGCAGCCCCTGGAAGCCAGCCCCACGCGGGCCTGCAAGGTGAGCCCCAGAGCAGTGGGCAGGGAGTGTGTGGGGCACGGGGCACCTTGGCTCCACTCAGCAGGGGCAGCCTGGCGGGCGGCGTTGGCCTCCATGACGCTGGACAGCTCGTTGATGATGAGCTTCAGGATCTTGACCAGCAGAGGGATGTTGGTCCAGCGCTCGGGGTCTACGGAGCAAAGAGGAGGCTGCCCTGGGCTGCTCCCTGCACCGAGTTCTCCAACCAGCTCTCCAACCGCGGGCCACACCCAGCCCTGAGTGTGTGTGTGCGCTGAGTGCTCAGTTGTGTCCGACTCTGTGACCCTGTGGACAGCAGCCTGCAGGCCCCTCTGTCCATGGGATTCTCCAGGCAAGAATACTGGACTGGGTTGCCATGGCCTCCTCCAGGGGATCGTCCTGACCCAGGGATTGAACCTGGGTCTCCTGCGTTGCAGGCGGATTCTTAACCATCTGAGCCACGATGAAGCCCCCAGTCCTGAGGCTCATGTTAAAGAACTGCATTGTACTGCACAACACAGGAGTTTAGAGGTCAGGAGAGACAACAGCCGTCAGGAGTGAAAGGGGACAAGCTGTGCCTGTGAGAAAAGCTGGGACACCAAGGGCTTGAGCAGGTCAGAGCGCCACGGGCCCCGGACACGTAGCCGCAGGGATGGCATGGGGAGTGTGAACCTGCGGTCGGATGGCAGCTGCAACCACAGACGTGGACGCAGGGGTCCCGGGCCCAGAGTGGGCTGGCCGCTGGGCGTCCCATCACTCGCAGCCACAAGAGGACCACACACGCTGCTCCACTGCTGACCCGCGTCCCCTGCTGTGCTCGAGGGACCCAGCACTGACAGCCCCTCCTGAATGGCCCCCCAGGTGTCCTAGCCCAGCGGGGGTAAGGGATGGCGCCACGCACTCTTGGCCGACTTGGAGCGGGTGCGGACGCCCTCGTCGGGGCTGTGGAGCTCCTCGCCCTTCACGCGGATGTCCTGCAGCCGCCGGTCGTCGGCGGTGATGCCGTGCTGCAGCAGCTTACACAGTGCCACGGAGCTGTGGGGGAGAGGGGGCTGTGAGTCGGCCTCCCCCCGGGGCGTGCCTGACCGTGACTGAGAGGGAACGCGCCTCCGGGCTGGCTGGGGGACACCAGAGTCGATCTCAGAGGGGCTCCTGGCCCTAAGGACGGGCGGTGAGAACGGCTCTTGAGCAAAGCCAGAGTGGGCAAGCAGCACGTGGACGTCCGCCGCGGAAGGCGTGCAGGGCGGTGAGAACAGGGGGTGAAGTCCAGCGTAAGCGGTCAGAAAGCTGGCTTTACAAACAGAGGAAGCCAGCGGCAACACTCAGCCGGGGCCAGGGAGGGGCTCGGGCCAGCAGGCAGCTGTCCAGGCACTTCAAGGCGGCGGCCGCCCAGCCGAGGCCAGCGGGAGGGGCGGGGCCGGGCAGCGGCCCACCTGACTTTGCCCTCATACTGCCCGTAGAACAGGTGCTGCCGGCTGGTCCACTCGGCCATCACGAACTCCAGGGCGGGCTTGCCGGTGGGCCCGGGCAGGCTGCACAGGAACTCCAGCAGCGGCTCCAGCTGCGTGTGCACCAGGTGTGCGAACACCATGATGAGGGACTAGGGGACAGGGGACAGCGGCTCAGCGCCCCAGCACACAGGCCCAGGCCCCCCCGCGGGCGCCCCCGCACCTGCATGACGCTGAGCGTCTCGGCCTGCTGCATCTTGCTGAGGACGGCGCGCAGGATCTGGTCCAGGCTCTCGCCCAGCTCCCGGCCCGCCCGGGCGATGAGCGTGGACACCAGGCGGCCCACGAAGGCAGCAGTGAACTCAGAGGTGCGGGGGTCCAGCAGCTGGCTCACCACCCGCATGACGTACCACAGCCCGCTGTGGCCCTGCTCATCGCGCCACTGTGCCACCTGCTCCAGCGCCACCGACACGTAGGCCCGCAGGCACTCGCCTCCATTCTGCGGACACGGGCAGCCAGTCAGCGCCGGGCTCCAGACCCAGATGCGTACACCCGCCTCCCAGATCTCTCCTCAGAGCAGGAGCTTCAGCTGCCAGGCTCCACCTCTGGCACCGGGGAACGTGGCTGAGCTGCAGCGGAGATGGGCCCAGGTCTGGGGACAGAGCAGACCGCTGTCTTGAGCCTCCCCAGATCGCCCCTCTGCTGACTCTGATGACGGAAGAGGGCTTCTCGGGGCCCGAGCCTACACGGCTGGGATCTCTTCTGCCACACGGACCCCACTCCTTTGAGCAGTCGGAACCCTTCCCGGTCCTCTGGACAAGTACAGGTGGGAGGGCTTTCTATCGCTAAGGCAGGTAACGCCTCAGCCTGCCACTCAGACGCGCTGTGGCTCAGACCCCGCGCAGAGGTACCTGCATGGTGGCGTTGTCATCCGTGTGCAGGGTGCACTGGGCCACGGCGGGGAAGGCCTGGCAGATGAGCAGCTGCGAGAGTGGGGGCTTCGTGTTCCGCACCACCGTGGTCAGGATGTCAATGGCTGTCTGCAGGGGAGGAGTCAGGCTGCCTCAGGGGCGGGAAGGGAGGGCCTAGGCGGGCTCCCAACCCTCAGGTGGCGGCACGCTGAGGGTTGATGGTAGGGGAGATGGAAGGGCAGTGGACTGCCCAGCCAGGGTGGTGTCGCAGAGGCCCTGCACCATCACTGGGGGTGCCTTGGGAACAAGAGGCCCCACCGTCCTGCGCCCAGGGGCACCCCTGCCCCAGGAACACATCACGGCTGGTCAGGGGTGGCGCGGGCCTATAAGGACGAGGACGCACCGCACACAGCCCCGCGGGGATCTTGTCCGCAGGCGCCTGCATGATGCTGACCAGGGTGGGGATCAGCCGCGTCTGCATGGGGCCCTGGCAGGCCTCGATCTGGGACAGCTCCTTGAAGACGTCCTGAGACAGCGAGGCCACCACGGGGTCTGAGGAGAGAGGACGTGAGTGCTCCGGCCATGCTGCCTGCCACTGGCCCGCACCCAAGCTGCCAGTTTCTGCCCGATCTCTCACCCAGACCCAGGGTCCATGGCAGCTGCAGGGGCCCGGGAGGCAGTGCACATGACCTGACGGAGTCAGAGGCAAGTCAGCAACAGCTACTCCGAAAACAAAACCTGCCTCTTTCCCTGGGACAAATCTCTAATGCCTGTATTCTTATGAAACGTGGATTCATTAATGAGCCCAAATGCTTAGAAAAGCCGCCCCCACTGACAGCCTGTTAAGAAGACACCACCGTCTCAGAACTGCCTCAACAACTGACTTTTCCAGGTCCCACATGTTGAGGACTCCATGCCATCTCCTGGGGGCGCTCCCAAAGCCACTTGAGGGCAAAAGAGAAAACCTTCAAACAGCAGAGCCTTGTGAAGAAACAGAACTTTAGCTAAATGTGCTTCACCTACGTTAAGAAAAACAGAAACACTCTCCCTCTATGGAGCGTTCAACGTGCAGGGCACCAAGACACACAGTCTGCACAAGACGAGCACTGGAAACCGCTCGGAGGCTCATGACCACAGCAGTAAATAGCAGTAACACAGCCACTCGGGGGGATGTTACGTGACGGGCAGAGAGAATGCAGTCTGTACGCATGCAGGGTGGAATCCTCCTTAGGGCACATTTTTAAGTGCAAAAACCAATCAAGTAAAATGTCTAGCATGTGCTTAGTCACTTAAGTCATGTCTGACTCTCTGTAACCCCATGGACCACGGCCTAAAATGTCTAGTATGACCTCACATTAGTACAAACCCCCTTCCAAGCTTCAATATGCATTCTTCAGATATAAATGTCCTTAATGTTTTTTCTGATAATAAAACCAAAATTTGGGATTCTGTTCTACGAGTTTTGGAAAACAATCTATTTACTTACTACAAGGTGAGCACCTCCCCATGGCTTTAATTATTTCTTTGGATTATTAATGGCTGCACAGCATTCCATTTTATGGATGTAATTACTAATTATTTCCAAAGACTTGCTACTACAGAAAACACGTGATGAATACCTTATCATAGACCTATGCCTGTCTCTTCTTCGGCTCCCCTCTAATCCTAGTTCTAGGCCTCTTCTTTCAGGATGCTTTTTGACTTAAGTTGCTCAATCTTGCACTTCACTGCTGGTTCTTTAATCCAGCTCCTAGAGAGCAAGTCACAGGCACAGGCTCTCTGCTGTTTGGATCTACACACAGCCAGACTCCGGCTAACTCACAGTCTGCCTCTGCACTAATGCACATGCCCAGGAGACCCGGGGGGCATGTGCGCGGCCCCGCCCCGCGTACCATTGCTGTACTTCAGGAAGATGGCGATGGTGAAGGGGCAGATCTTGCTCTCCACGCTCGCTGTGAACGCGGGGTCCACCGTGCAGACGACGCACAGGGTCTCCATCACCAGGTTGAGGACCTCGGAGCTGAACTGGGCCGCGAGGTGGACCAGGCCGTCCAGGACGCTGGGCAGGAAGGGCCGCAGCACGGCTGTGCTCTCCGAGACTTTCAGCTGGTCGCAGTAGCTGGGGAGCGAGACAAGCGAGGCGGCTCAGCAGCAGGCCCCACTCCGGCCATCCCGTCAGCGTGCCCTGCGACAGGCTTCACGAAGCTACTCCTAGAGCTCGCCAAACTTTGACATCTTTCTGTAGCTTTTATTTTTTAGAATTTTCAGCACTACCATTTCTATGTTTTCTAATGTATTTCTGCTTTGGTCTTCACAATTTCCTTTAAAATTTCTTTCATCCCCCTATTCTGTTATGAAATCCCAGTCACAGCTATATCCAAATTATTAAGATATGAAGTCAAATGCATTATGCTTCCTCGCACTATTGTTTTAGGCACATTCTTCAGATAGACAGACAGATCACTGGTGACAGGAGACCACTTTTTACTTCCAGGTTACAAACGTTCTGTACTTTTTGGTGGCTTTTGCATCCTAAAATCAGATCAATTTATAGAAACGTTTTACTCATACTTACAAACTTGGTGTACTATTTGTGGGGTTTAGATGTTTGTTTTAGAGCAGAAACAGACTCACAGATTAGAAAATGAACCTGCGGTTATGGGGGAGAAGGGTGGCAGGGAGGGACAGTGGGAGTCTGGGATGGACATGAGCTCACGGCTGTACTGAAGACAGAGAGCCAGCAAGGCCCCGTCGTGCAGCGCAGGGAAGCCTGTGCAGTGCTCTGTAACCGTCTAAACGGTGAAAGACTTTAAGAACAGACACGGGCATGACTGAATCTTCGTGCTGACCCCTGACACTAACGGCACTGTTAGTCAACTATACTCCAACATAAAGTTTTAAAAAAATTTACCTCAAAAAAACATCTGTTACACATACTTCTATCTTGTTAACCTCTTAATCAATAAACGTTTACTAGATGCTGCTCACCACGTCCAATGGGGTACATTATTAAAAATACGTTATCCACGTCTTTATTTTTCTGATCTACAGGATGGTAACAAGTCGGTAAAGACACTGTTTTGTGCGTTAAAAGAACCTGGTGTGGAGACAAGGCCCTCCCCAGGTTCTCAATGAATGGTTTCTCTTAGTGCAAGTTTCAGATGTAACATCTGTGTGTCAGCTGCTGGGTTCAGAGGTCACGGTGTCAGCACAACTGTGGGCCTGGACCTCAGGTCTGACCACTCCTTGCTTCTGGGTCACAGCGCCATGATGCTCAAGGCCACCATGCCCTGCACCACCCTTCCTGGGCTGGGCAGACACTTGCATTGGGGCTGGCTGGGCCCACTCCTCCCGAGGCGGCCGCACTCCAAGTGTCCACAGAGCCTGGAAGGTCAGAGAGGCCGCCCCGTGCACGCAGACCATCCGGGATCTTCTACGCCATGCTGAAGAGGTTCACCCTTACTCTGGAAGTCAGTGTGTCTCAAAGTTTTTTTTCCTTCACAAACCACTTCTGACATCTAATTTCTTCTTCCCCCTACGGTCTTTAGGGGAACCGATACCCCAGGAAAATGCTGTGTCCAGGGGCCTCATGGACTGCTCGGCATGCTCTGCCTTTCTCCTGGGTACCTGCATCCCAGAGCTTCGAGAGGATAACCAGGGCCATGAGAGTTTCTGTTGCAGCAGCAAAAATACAAGTACTCGATTCCAGAAAGACCAGTTTGAGAGCTGAGATAGTAAAGACGGCAGCAGTCAGAGGCTGCAGGCAGCAAAACCCTGCAAGGGGCCCGGCAGGAACTCAGGCAGAAGCTCTGAGCACACATGGGGCAGCTGAAGTGGGAGAAGAGGGAACCAAGCTCCAGAGGCAGGGGCTGGTGTCTCTGGGAGGACAGAGCTCTGCTGTAGGAGCAGGACCCACAGGTGTGGGGTCTGCACCTCTAGGGCGACAGGGACAGCAGGCAGGGGAGGCCTGCAGGTGGCCGACAGGAAGCTCAGTGTGGACGCTGTCAGTCTTCAGGCACGCTCGCCTGTCCTGGTACAGACAGGAGCACACGTGAACCTGGAGCTGTGGAGGAAGGTCGGCATACATGTGACAGAGAAGCGCGGCCCACGTGAAGGATCTGCCACCAGCACCCCGTCCGGGGGCGCTCTGAGGCAGCGTGCAGTGGCACACACACCGTGACCGGAACGGACGTTAGAGACGGGTAAGGAGAGAGGATAGCCGGGCGGCACTGGTGACCCAAGATGGGCAGGCTCAGCGACACGCTGAAGACAAGCCGGGCTGAGCCTGGCTGCAGAACTGAAGAGGGCAGAGGCCACACGCGAGCCCTGGCTGAGGACAGGCACAGCGAGACCCTTCCTCACGGGGCCTCGCCCCCGGGTCCACGCTTCCACACATGACGCACAGCTCTGAAAACGTGGCCGGGCCACTGCTCTGCTCTGCATGTTCATGGCTTCCGCTACTTCTCCAGGGACAGCAGCTGCACCTTTCAAGAAAGCCCTGCCCGTGGAATCAGAGAACTGAAAGTTATTAAAAAAAAAAGTTCTCATCACACATTCTTTCTAACTATAAAAGTAGTATAAAATGTAAATTTTTCTCCGCTTTACTGCGGTGTACTCCATCTGTGAAATGGTTAGCATGAGCGCTGCAGTGCCTGGATGCACATCCACACTGCACAGGTTTTCCCTCATCCACTTTATCACCATGTCCGTCCCCTCAGGTCCCCCTTCTTCTGGGGGAACGTGTGGTCTCCACTCTCCGTTACACACAGCGCGGCCGCCGACAGGCATGCTCCATGCTGGAGCCTCAGGCCTGACTCATCCTGGGACGACAGTGAGCTCCCTTCCACCTCTCCCGGCCCTCACCCCCACCCCCAGCCTTCTGCTCTCCTTCACAGCAACTCTGGCCTTTCCAGAAGCCTCCACAGCGAAATGTGCGGCTCATCTCACTCAGCACAGTGCCCTCAAGGTCCATCCAGTTGCTGCAGACAGCAGGCTTCCCTGGCACAGCTGAGTTCCATTCACGGGACACACATCACCTTCACCCGCTCCTCGGCTGATGCCCTCAAGCAGCTTCTACAGCCTGGCTATGTGAACAGCACAGCAAGGAGTGCAGGAGTGCAGGCATCGCTTCAAGATCGTGTTTTCATTTCCTCTGGATGGATCAAATAGTAGCTCTATTTTTAAATTTTTTTAAGATCCCCCCCCAAACTCTTCTCCACAGTGGTTGCACCAATTTACACTCCCACTAACAGTACAAAAGTGTTCCTTTCTCTCCACACCCTCGTTAATCTTGTTATCTTTAAAAAAAATAAGTAAATAAATAACTAGCTTGCTTATTTTTGGCTGTGCTGGGCCTTCACTGCAGTGCGTGGGCTCAGCAGTTCTGGCACACGAGCTGAGTTGTCCCGCGGCATGCGGAATCTTCCTGGACCAGGAATCAAACCCATGTGCCTGTGCTGGTAAGTGGATTCTTATCCACTGAACCACCATGGAAGTCCTCTTCTTGTCTTTTTGATACTAGCCATGCTGAAAAGTCTGACGTGAGAGCTCACTGTGATTCTGACTTGCATTTTCTGGGTCACTAGAGGTGCTGAGCACCCTTTCATGTACCTGTCGGCCACCTGTACATCTTCTCTAGGAAAAAATGTCTTTTCCAATCCTCTGCCATTTATTTTTTACTGATTGTTTATTTGCTGTTGCGCTGTATGAGTCTGTGGTGTATTTTGCGTTTTAACCCCTTATCAGGTAAATGGTTTGCAAATATTGTCCTTCCTTCGGTAGGCTGCTTCTTCCTTTGGCTCATGGCTTCCTTTGCTGTGCCTTTTTAACCTGACGTAGTCCATTTATTTTTGCTTTTGTTGCCTTTTGGTGTCAAATGTAAGAAGTCATTGCCAAGACCAGTATCAGAGAGTTTAATTTTTATGGTTTTTCTAAGAGTCTCATGATTTTAGGTCTTAGGTTCAAGTCTTTATTTTGAGTTGACTTCAGTATATGGTTTAAGACTGTTGTTGTTCAGTCACTAAGTCATGTCCAACTCTTTGTGACCCCATGGACTGCAGCATGCCAGGCTTCCCTGTCCTTCACTATCCTGGTTTAAGACTGTTGTTGTTCAGTCACTAAGTCATGTCCAACTCTTTGTGACCCCACGGACTGCAGCATGCCAGGCTTCCCTGTCCTTCACTATCCGCTGGAGTTGGTTCAAACTCATGCTCATTCGGTCAGTGATGCCATCCAACTATCTCATCCTCTCTTGCTCCCTTCTCCTCCTGCCCTCAGTCTTTCCCAGCATCAGGGTCTTTTCCACTGAGCTCTTCTTCAGCTCTTCCCATCAGGTGGCCAAAGTATTAGAGCTTTAGCTTCAGCATCAGTCCTTCCAACGAATATTGGAATATTTAGGACTGATTTCCTTTAAGATTAACTGGTTTGATCTCCCTGAAGTCCAAGGGACTCTCAAGAGTCTTCCCCAACACCACAGTTCAAATGCATCAATTTTTCGGCGCTCAGCCTTCTTTATGGTCCAACTCTCACATCCACACATGACCACTGGAAATAGCTTTGACTAGATGGACCTTTGTTGGCAAAGTGATGTCTCTGCTTTTGAATATGCTAAGTTTGTCTTGGCTTCTCTTTCAAGGAGCAAGCGTCTTTTAATTTTATGGCTGCAGTCACCATCCACAGTGTTTCTGAAGCCCAAGAATATCACTGTTTCCATTTTTTCCCAAATCTACTTGCCATGAAGTAGTGGGACTGGATGCCATGACTTTAAGTAAGCTTTTTGAATGCTGAGTTTTAAGCCAGCCTTTTCACTCTCCTCTTTCACCTTCATCAAGAGGCTCTTTAGGTCCTCTTCACTTTCTGCCATTACGGTGGTATCATCTGCATATCTGAGGTTACTGATATTTCTCTCAGCAGTCTTGATTCCAGTTTGTGACTCATCCAGCCCGGCATTTCACATGATGTACTCTGCATATAAGTTAAATAAGCAGGGTGTAAGATAAGGGTCCAGTTTTTCGAATACCATTTACTGAAGAGACTGTCCTCCCCCCGTGTGTTCTCAGCTCCTCTGTCATAAAGTAACTGACCACAGACGTGTAGGTTTGCAGCTGGGTGCTCTATTCTGCTCCATGGATCTTTGTGTCTGTTTGTAATGCCAATACCATCCTATTTTGATTACTATCACTTTGTAATATAGTTTAAAATCAAGAACTGTGATACCATACAAATTCTGGAATTGTTTGTTCTATTTATGTAAAAAATGCCATTGGAATTTTGAGCGGGACTACACTGAATCTGTAGATTGCTTTTGGTAGTTTGGACATTTAATTAGTGTTCATTATTTCAATCTATGAACATGAAATATGTGTTAGTTTGTGTCTTCAATTTCTTTCCTCGATATCTTATAGCTTTCTGTGTATAGCTCTTTCATCTTGGTGACTTATGTTTATTCTTAGATATTTTATTGTTTTTGATGCAACTATTTTTTAAACTTTTCTTTCTGATAGCTTATTATTATTTTCTTTTCTAACCGCTCTGCTCAGGAGCTCCAGTACTATGTTGAGAAGGAGTGGCGAGAGTGGGTACCCTTACCTTGTTCTTGATCTCCAAGAGGAAAAGCTTTCAGCCGTTCATTGCTGAATGTATTAGCTGGGGCGGGTGTCATATATGGCCTTTATTGTGTTGAGATATGTTCCTTCAGCTTTTGTCATGAAAGGGTACCGAATTTCGTCAAACGCTTTTTCTCCATCTATCGAGATATTCATATGTTTTTATTTTTCATTCTATTAATTGGATATTACATTTATTAATTCGTTTATGTATGTTGAGCCCTTTGTATCCCAGGAATAAGTCCCACTTGGTCATGTAGTGTGACCCTTTTATCGCGCTGTTGAATTGAGTTTGCTAGCAGTGTGTTGAGAATTTGCACCGATACTTATCAGGCATACTGGCCTATTACTTTCTTTTCCTGCAGTGTCCTTGTTATCAGGGTAACGCTGGCCTAGAAAAATGAGTTTGGAAATGTTCCGTCCTCTTCAGTATTTGGAAGGAGCTTGGGAAGGGCTGGTATTTACTTTTCTTTGAACGTCTGGTAGAACTCGCCAGTGGAACCATCTGGTCCTGGGCTTTTCTCGTGGCAGGCTTCTCGTTACTGACTCACTCTGCTCATTAGCTACTGGTCTGTTCAGATTTTCAAATTCTTCATGCTTCAGTCTTGCTAGGCTGTATGTTTCTAAGAATTTATGCATTTCTTCTAGGTTACCCAATTTGTTGGCATATACTTGTTCACAGTGGTCTCTTATGAACCTTTGTCTTTCTGTGACATCAGTTGTAAAGTCTCCTATTTCATTTCTGATTTGTCTGAGGGTTCTCTCTCTCCTTTTTAGTCCAGCTATAGTCCAGCTATATAACTTTATCTTTTAAAAACACCAGACTCTTCCTCTGTCTCTCTGGCTTCTCCTCATCTTCCTCCTGCTGCCTCGGGGCTTAGTTTGTTTTCTTTCGAGCTCCTGAGGAAGAAAGTGAGATTGTTTTTTCTTTTTCTGCTTTAATATTAAGTGTTTTCATTTATAAACTTCCTTTGTTAGAACTTCTTTTTCTGTATCCTCTAAGTTTTGGTATGCTGTATTTCCATTTTCATGTGTTTCAAGACATGTTTAGATTTCTCTTTTAATTTTTCCTTTGACCCATGGGTTGTTCAGAAAAGTACTATTTGATTTCCATGTATCTGTGATTTTTCTAGTTTTCCTACTGTAACTAATTTCACTCAGTATGATTTCCACCTTAGATTGACCAACGCTGGCGTCGTGGCCCGTCCTGGAGCACACCCCACGCACGCCTGGGAGGGAGGTGCGCTCAGCTGCTGCCCCATCAGCTGCTCAGTAGGTCTGCTGGGTCCATCTGGTTGAAAGCGCAGTTTAGGTCCAATGTTCCATCACTCATTTTCTGTTTGGACAAACACCCACTGTAATGGGGAGGGGGTATAAATCTGCTGTTATTGTACTGCGGTCTGTCTCTCCTCTCAGATATTAAGATCTGCTGGGTATACTTAGGCGCTCTGATGGCAGATGCACATATATTTGTGACTGTTCTATCTTCCTGATGAATTAACCCCCTTACTGTATAATGGGCAGTCTCATATAACAGCTTCTAAATTAAAGTCTACTTGCTGATAAAAGTACAGATATTCTCACTCTGGTTTCTACTTAACACAGAGTACCTTTTTTCCATTCCTTTACTCTGAGCCTGTGTGTCTTAAGACCTGTAGTCTCAACTGGTTCTTTCTTCCAATCCATTCAGCTAATCTGACTTTTAATTAGAGAATTTAGTCCATTTATACTTAAGATAACTTTTGATAAGTAAGGCCACTTTATTAACTTTTTGCTGGCTCTCCTGTGGCCCCCTGTTCCCCACTGCCCCTCTGGCTGTGTTCCTCTGTGAATGGTGATCTTCCACAGAGAAATGCCTTCCTTCTTTTCTCTTTATTGTTTGTGCGTCTATCAGACTTTTGCTTTGTGGTCACCATAAAGCATCTTACAGATATAAAGAACCTCTACCCCTTTACTCCCATCCATTAATGTCTCTGAGGTCATGATTTAACCACTCTTACACTGTGTATCGGTTATAATGAGGACTTCCCTGGTGGCGCAGACAGTAAAGCGTCTGCCTACAATGCAGGAGACCTGGGTTCATTAAGCTGGTTATTTGCAGTTCTTTCATCTTTTACCCTTTATACTAGAGTCAGGTGGCTAACACCATCATATCACAGTATTAGAGTATTCTGAATCAATAATATACTTACCTGTAGCAATATACTGTATATTTTTACATTAGTAACATGCATCTCTTCATTCCGGCCTGAAGAATCTCCAGTGTTTCTTGTAAGGCAGGTCTAGCGGTGAAGAAGCCCTCCAGCTTTGTCTGTCTTGGGAAGTCTTCATCCAGCCTCACTTACAAAGGACAGCTTTGCCAGGTAAAGCATTCTTGGTTGGCAGCTTTTTCTTTCAGCACTTAGAATGTATTACTCCACTGTCTCTTGGCCTGCAAAGTTTCTGCTGAGAAATCTGTTGGTGGCCTTACAGGAGCTTCCTTGTATGAAAAAAGGTTTTTGCCTCTTGATGCTTTGAAAATTGTCTTTGATTTTAGATAGTTTTATTACACTGTGTCTTGGAGAACATCACCTTGGGCTGAAATTCTGGGGTGAAGTATATTAGCTTTAAAACTAGGAGGTGCAAATCCCCCCTCAGATTTGGGAAGTTCTCATGCATTATTTCTTTAAAAAGGTTTCTTCCCTTTCTTCTGGGACTCCAATTATGTATCTACTATTTCTCCTAAAGGTACCACTGGGTTCACATTTCTTCCTTTGTTTTCATTCTTTATTCTCTGTCATCCTCTGACTGGATAATTTCAAAGGCCCCATTTTCTATTTCACAGACTTCTTCTACCTGATCCATTCTGCTACTGATGTTCTCTATGGCTTTTTTCATGTCATTTTCTATATTTTTCAGCTCTAGAACTCACCTGTTATTTTTTTATGATTTCTCTCTCTTGGCTGAATTTCTCATTTTGTCTGTGAGTTGTTTTTCTGATTTCAAGAACTTGAGTTTTTATGCTTTCCTGTAGTTAACTGAACTCCCTAAAATGACTATTTTGAATTCTTTATCAGATAAATCACAGATCTCCATGTCTTTGGGGCTGGTTACTGAAAAGCTACTGTGTTCTTTTCTGATGTCCTGCTTTCTTGGTTCCTTGGGTTCCTTTACATCTTGCGTTGCTGTCTTCGCATCAGAAGCAGCAGTCAGCTCCTTCAGGCTTCAGTGGCCAGCCTCTTGCCAGTGTCCAGTCTTGAGTTTTTCACCCCAGTGCCGTGCTGGAGTCTCTACTGGACTGTGGACTTCAACAAAGGCTCCCTCATCTGTTGGTAACTGTCTCAGTCAATGTTCTCCAAGAGTTCCTGGACCACTCCTCAATCCAGAGCTGGGACAGTCTGTGCTCCTATAACCTAATACACAGGTGGGTAAGATTTCCCCTGGCTCCTTGGTGTATGGTGATGATGACAGAATCAAGCCAAATGGGACCATAGCCAGGACTGCGGCTGGCAAGTCAGCGGCTAGGATGTGAGCCTGTCTTCTCACAACAGCTCTCCTTGTCCTCAGGTGGCTCCGCACTTGGACAGATGCCAAACTGTGGGTGCAGGAGGGATAAGAGCGAGGGTACCTTGTTCAGACTTCTCTGACAGCCCGAACCCTAGTGCTCTCTAAGGACACACAACAATGCCCAGTGTCTCAATCTGCTTCAGAAGGCCAGGCGGCAGTGAAGGCGGGTGGAAGATAAACTCTGTGTTTTTAGGGTTTCAAGCATTTCTTAGGACTCAACTGAGGCTCTTAGGTTTGGACTTGAAAACACCCCTGCAAACACCAATGCCTCTCTGGTCTGGGGAGGAGTACAAATAAAGGACTACCTGAGCCACGAGCTGTGAGAAAGATGCAAAATTGGGGAAAACACACACAGTTTGCAGGCCATATTATCTCAAATTTGGTTTCTAGCACAGATACCATCAGTCAAGCAGGCGGGCTGGACTAGCAGCCCGCTTCTGTGCTCTGCTCCACCACTGTGCAGCCCCAGGCAAGTCAGGTCTCTCTCAGAGCCCAGGCCTGGCCCCTCTGTGGGGCAGGGGGCTGTCCAGATGGTCCCAGAACTGGACTGAATTGAAAAGGAAAGGAGTATAAACAGGACACAGCTGGGACTCACAGAAGCCCCGTCCTGCCAACATTTATTCTGCAGGAGATCTTCGTCAGAAATTTCCGAGCAACACAGTGGCCTGAGCAACTGCTGTTTGGGACTTCTGCCCTGAGCAACGTTTCCTTAAGACAGGCCTGCTCGCTCCAAGATGGCATACTCACCCCCAGATGGCTCTCACTGCGGAGATGCGGACTGACGGGGGTTGTGTCTCATGAAGACCACTGACTGTTGCCTGAAGAAACTGCTGGATCAATTCAGGGGACATAGCAACAGTGAAACGACTGGCAGCCCAGAGGGCCCGGCCCAGGAGGAAAGGCGACACTGGGAAGGAGAGAGAGCAGTCAGGGGCAGGACACGACACGCTCCAGCTACTCGCCCCCTCCTCCCCAGCCCCACCCCTCAGCGTGCTGCAGGAACTGGGCACTACATCACACACACAGCTAACGAACAGGAAAAGCAAGACTGTAAAAGACAGAAGCAAACGTGTGACCTATGGCACAGAACCTAAACCAGTCTCCCAGATTCCCAAGGTACATTCTGAACATTCCTAGACTAAAAAGACATCCCAGCCCTGACCCCACCCCAGCTCTCGCCATTCCTTATGCACTGCTAACCGGCTCTCTGGAAGCTTCTCCACAGCCAGCTTTTCCCTACCCTTGGACCACTACTGGAATATTACAAATTACATCTCTGTCATTGTCTTATTTAAAATGCCAATAAATTCCACAGCTTACCAAATAAAGCCCCTTGGATCTGTGCCTCTGGCATCACCTCCAATTCCCCTCTCTGCCTCCAAACTCAGGCATGCAGCCCACCCTAGGAGGCTGTCATCTTATCTTGCCATTTCTGCGCTTGGTTTTTAAGCCAACACACTCACCTCTCCTTGCATTATCTAACCAATCTCTTGGGCTGAAGGAATCCTAACTGTCTCTGTGCCACTTTAATCTCATGTCATCAGCTTTCTAACATGAACTATCTATCTACCTACCTATATATATGTATTTAAATATATACATATATAGATAGATATTCCAGCCACTGGGATAAGGATTACTGTGCCCTGCCTATTATTAAGATGCTTGAGGATAGAGACTATACTTATTCAGCTGTTACAGGGCTTAACTTTGTTATCTGTACAATAAACATTAGTTGATGGGACCTATTCAACGGAACCTAGCAAACCGTGCCAGATAATTACATAATAAATCACGTAATGCAGAGTAACAGTTCTCAAAATACAGTCCAAGAAGTCCTGGAAGTTATAAAAGTAAAACCATTTTCTTTTTCAAACCATTTCATTTTCAAAACTAAGACGATGTCGTCTATTTTGGTCTCACTCCCTGTCGAGTACACAGTGGTTTTCCAAAGGTTACATGACATGTCACCACGGCTCTGACAGCTAGTGGGACGTATGCTTGCAATTCTCATGTTCTGAAAGGTTCTCAGTTTTAATTTCTGGTATGTTAAATACTGTTACATGTGACAAAAAAAAAATCTCCTTGGGGTCACTGATAAATTTTTAAAGGTGTAAACGGGTCCCGAGACCAAAAAGTTTGAGAATGGCTTGTATAGAAAAGCTTTGCTAGGGCAAATTCTGGAAAGAATATGCTGGTGGGTGTTAGAAATTCCAGCACCGTCATCAACGTATAATCACACTGCATGCATCAGGGGCCAGGAGCTGTGGGATCGAAGGGTGTGTGAGACAGGGCTTCCACCTGCACATGTTGTACAGCAAAAACAACACATTGCACACGTGGTAACTGCAGAACAAAAGGGAGTATCCTCAGCGGGTCTGAGATCACGACGCTCGACTGCTTAGTGCTGTGACCTGCGACTCAGGATGAGAGATGACCTAATGACCTCATGTAGAGACAGAAGAGAAGATTCTCCAATGGCCTAAGCTACCCAAAGGGCTAACTTAGGAAAAGGACACAAGACAGTGGACTGGCATGGCAGGAACAATGCGAGGGTCCCAGGGCTTAAGGCTCAGAGAGGAAGCAGAGACAGTGCTGGGGTCTGGCTCTCAGGATGAGAATCACACAGACGCCGCTGTCCCGAACCCACCGCCCTGTGCTGTGAGGAATGGGCTCCATGCAGTTAAGGCGATTATTTTTAAAGCTAGTAGTGAACACAGAGGTGAGAACAGAACACTTCAATTATCTAGTTAGAACAGTTTTAGAGAGGATAGATAGTTTGAGAAAACTGACGGGAAGCAGACAGAGAGGATGAGCCTAACACACGCGGCCCGAGGGCACAGGGGGCTCTGCATTTACAACTTGCAGAGCAGCCACCCTCGCATCCCGTTCAGACGCCAACCACCACGCCGGGCAGTGGGCATGAGCCCGGGGGCAGACGTGGGAGAATGGCAAGGAAGAACGAGCGATGAGGCCGCCCCAGACTCAGAGCTGCTGACACCTGAGTCAAGGTCCCTGGGCAGTGCAGAGTCAAAGGAGCCCCATCAGCTCCAGGCTGCAAGAAGAATCCCACCCCAAGGTTCACATAAGTGAACAACAGGGCTGAAGACCCCTTAGAATCCTGCTGTGCTGAAACACACCTGAGAGGTTGAGGTCTGCAAGGACGACACCGGTCAGGAAGCCGTGCATGTCGAAGGGGATCCTGCCACTCTTCACGCTGTCAGTGATGATGGACTTCACTGAGCCGAGGGCCAGCATGCAGGCCTCGTGGACCTTCCACCTGCCAAAGGGACCCCCACAGCCGAGTCACACAAACCCACCGCCGGAGACACAAGCCCTTGAGGCAACGGCACTTTAGCAAGCCCGACCCTGAAGGGCGCTGAGCTGCTCTTCCAATCCAAGCCTGTATCTAAAGACAGTATAATTTAACAGCAACAGGTTTTTCTAACTAAAAACAAAGCAAAAGTCCTTCCTTTCCAGGCTTTTTAAAAGGGATAAAATAAAAACACTGAACCAACTATTTTAAGGAAAAACTGCTTTAGAACAGGTGATTCAAAGCAAGGATGCCTGCCCTCACCCGAAGCCCAGAGGGTGCCCCCATGAGGGCGCCTGCTGCCCCCTCTCACCAGTGCTCGGCACCGCTGCTCTTGGTCTGCTCAGCCTCCTGTAAGTGCCGGGCGGCCGCGGCGGCCAGGGCAGCTGCGCTCTCATTCTGGAAATCAGAGGCCACAGCCTAGGGCGAGAGGAGAGGTGCCAACAAATTTCTGTGCAAATTAAAACCATAAACTGCACTGCCGTGCACGCGGCTAACATGATCAGATACATTCATAATGTGATCCTGAGCTGTACGAAGGTCTCTAAGTTAAAGCAGCACCCGTCTCTCTGCAGAGGCTGAGCTATCTAAAGCTTGCAAAATGAATGGCTTCCCACGGCTACATTCTGCAGAGCATCAGGGAGGGGTCAATGAGAGACCCAGCTGTGGACAGCGATGGACCAGGTATTTGTCCTCTGGGAGGTCAACTTGGAAAAGCAAGGCTAATCTACTAAGCGACATGGCATGGTCTTCCTGAGGTGCCTTAGAAACACCAAAGGACGAGAACTACCCACCAACAGTGAAATGGGAATAAGTGTCGCACCAGACAGACAGCAGCTTCCCCACAGACCTCAGGCTAGAGACAGCTCTGTGCTCCGGTCAGAGTCAGAGGAAACGGGCAGCCACCTGGGTGTTCACTCGCAGCAATCAAAGCTTTTCAAATCTGCCAGTCTCTAGTCTGTGCTATACACAGACTCTTGCTGAAGACTGAACTAAACTGAAGAGTTTCTGATTCAAACACCCTCTCCCATTACAATAACATGCCCTGCACAATTCTTACATCAATATTGGCATGTAAATCAGAACCAGACCAAGGACTTTGGAATTCCTGAGTCTCAGACTTCACTTGAGATGCTCTGTGTTAGTCGCTCAGTCATCTCCCAGTCGTCGCGACCCCACGGACTGTGGCCCACCAGGCTCCTCTGTCCATCGAATTCTCCAGGCAAGAAGACTGGAGTGGGTTGCCATTCCCTTCTCAGGGGATCTTCCTGACCAAGGGATTGAACCCAGGCCTCCTGTAGGGTTGCAGGCAGATTCTTTACCATCTAAGCTACTCTGTTACCTGCCCCAGTCTAAGGTAAAGCTGCCCAAGACCAGCGCTGAGCTAAGCTTCGAGGGAGGTCTAGAACGAAGAGGAGAAGTTGATACCGCCAGCACCCTGGTGAGCGGGGCGGCGGGGCAGCCCTCTCACCAGCAGCAGGTCCTGGGCTGCGATCCTGACGGTGTAGGAGAAGGTATCGTCATCCTCATCTTCTACAAACTGCTGGGGGTTGGCAGTCCACACTTTGATCTGAAAGGACGATGCAGTCAGCTCTCTGTGAGGTCCCTCTTCCGGTTCACACTCGCGGGAAGATTCCAGCCTTCTGTCTTTATCTTGAACATAATGCTACTCTTTCTGATGCAGAGAAGCAAACCCTTTATCAAGCCACACAGCTAAGGCCGCTGCAGAAGGTGGCTGACTGCTGGCCCCTCCTACTGTCAGTCGGCTGTGACCCCAACAGGTCAATTTGCTGAGTCTAGTAGGTCTGATGGGAATCTAATGTGAAAATCACGTCAATTCCTGGGACACAGTACAGGCATTAACGTATTTTTAATACTCTCTTCTGGTCTGATGACTCTCTGACCAGGCTAATGAACTGAACACCGTGTCTCACTATTTATAGAGAAAGGCCAGGCTCTTCTTGCTATCACTCCCTTGGTTGGGGGTCCTACAGGTATCAAAGTGGGAGTATTCTACAAGTCCAACTACCTACCACAGAAGCTGATCAACCCCAGCACCCGGGGACTTAGTAAAATGATGTGAATGAAATCACAGCTTTCCTAGGACTTCCGGTCATGCTGCTCTTCAGGTGTCAGTTTTTAGAAATAAACAGATCACCTGACCTAGACCCCACACTCGAGCCGCACTTGCTCATGCACGCTGCTGACTCCCACAGTTACCTGCTCCTCAGTGATCTGCATGTAGAGGATGATGTAGTAAATCAACTCAGGCAAGGCCTTCCTGACGGTGCTTTTGAATTTGCTGTTTTCCAGGAGAGCGTGGACAAACTCAAAAATGCTGAACACGAGGTTTTCAAAGCCCAGGACTTCACCTACAGGGAGTATGTGAGAGAAGCTCTTAGTGGCCAGAAGGCAGAAGCATGCACAGATGCTGGGAAGGAAATACATCACCTCTGTGAGTCAGGGGTCAGTCAGTTAAAGCACTTGCTAATTACGATTCTCCAGGGAATGGAACAGGGCCCGAGGAGTCAAAGAAGGGAACTCGAGGGTATTAAACACTTTTGGTTTTTCCAGTAGAAGAACCAGAGCATTCCCTGGTGGTCCAGTGGTTAGGACTTGGGGCCTTCACTGATGAGGGCCTGGGTTCAACTCCTGGTTGGGGAATTAAGATCCTGAAAGTCACGCAGTGCAGCCAAAAGAAAGAAAAAAGAATCTGAAACATGAATATATTTTCCACTGAGAAATTCCATGATTTCACGAGACTTATGCAAATGCTGATGAGGAACAGACTACAGATTTTCAATTTTTGTTTCCCCACATTTAATCCACTGACAGGAAACTCAATGAGAACATTCTCGAGAGAGCAAAGCCTCTAATTTCCTGCCTTTGTCCTGGCTCTTCCTGGCTCCCTTCTCCACAAGGTATACCATTAAGACCAAACATGCTACATACCATCGGAATCCACAGGGTCCTCTACTTCCTCTGTGTAATTGACTTCTGTCCTCACATAAGTATGATGAAGAGTAAAGAAATAGAATTTGCAGTCTGCTTTACACACAATCTACAAGGGAACATGACATACTCCAACACTAGGAGTAGATACTTTAAAAAGCGGAACCACGTGAATGTGAGACCCAAGGCTCTAGATTCCCAACTACGGGGGTGGTGGGTCCCTTCCCTCTCCCAGAAAGGATATAAAGCTGCACTTTCAGTGAGGGTGTTCCACACAATGGGCAGAATTTGCTGCATGGAGGACACCATGTGCTTTGGGAAGTTTTTCACCAGGGCTGTCACTGCCTGAGAAGTTACAGGAAAAAACATGAGAGTTACCAGTGACATGGGAGAAAGATCACTGATGTCAGACCACCCTGCAGGCTCCCAGCGCCTCCCCAACAGAAAGCACGCACCTTCAGGACCTCCATCTTGAGCCCACTGTCGGATGTGGGGCCCTCTGGGACCTGCAGGGCCTGGACAAAGGCCTCTGTGAACCGCTGCACCACGGGCAAGATCAGGACTCTGGCTGCGCCCTGAAGGCAGAAACTAGGATCAGTCCTGGACTCAGCCCGAATCCACGGCATCCAGGCACGTGGCACCTCCAGACCCTCCAGGCTCAGGCCCTAGTCAGAAGGCTGTGGCCACAAGGTCACTGGAGGTGTCCCCAGGGTCTGCCGTGTCCTGATCCAACACTGGCAGCTGCTCACAAGAAGCTTCTTCAAACCACTCCTGATCCCAGGGATCGGTATTTCTTAGCTAGGCTGGTCCCACACAGGAGGCAATGAAAGAGCGATAAAGCCCTGGGCGCCAGCCAGTGTGAAATGGATGCAGGACAAGGTGCTAGGAAAAGCAAGACTCAAAGGAAAGGAAACCAAGCTACAAATGGATGAGGAATCCAGCCAGGATGCTCACTGCATCAAAAGCATGGCTGGTGTGTGCCCAACACATCCCACAAGACATCAGGGCAGACCAGCTGCCCCGACAGAGGCGCGCTCACCTTCTCCAGCTCCTCCATGTTGCAGATCATGTGGGCGCAGGTGGTGAAGATCTCCACGGCTCGGGAGCGGGTTCGGATCCCGTACACCTGGGGGCGAAGTGCAGCGAGCACGTGAGTGACCCACCTGTGATCACCCAGCCTTGACACGGGACTGGATCCCCGAGACACGAGATGTCTACCACTCCTGTCCAGGGGACAGATTTATTTAATCCACAGAATAGAAGCCACCACAATGTGAGAACTTACTAGAATCAGCCTTGTATAAAGGCCTCTGTGGGCTAATCTGACTGAAAATGTGAAGCTGGGTGCGCCTCGGAACCCCGACACAGTCAGTGGAGTGCTTCCCAAACACAGCCCCCGGCTAGGGAAGGGGGGGAGCAGCAAGGCTGAAACACCCTCCAGCGGGCAGCCACCAGCCAGCACACACAGCAAGGCTGAAACACCCTCCAGCGGGCAGCCACCAGCCCAGCACACACAGCAAGGCTGAAACACCCTCCAGCGGGCAGCCACCAGCCCAGCACACACAGCAAGGCTGAAACACCCTCCAGCGGGCAGCCACCAGCCCAGCACACACAGCAAGGCTGAAACACCCTCCAGCGGGCAGCCACCAGCCCAGCACACACAGCAAGGCTGAAACACCCTCCAGCGGGCAGCCACCAGCCCAGCACACACAGCAAGGCCCGCGGGTGCAGTGCGGGAGACTGCCCAACACGCGGCTGGGCGGCCCCACAGGGGCCTGGGCAGCCCCGTGGCAGCAGCGTGGAGCTCCGGCAGCCCTCCGCTCTCCCCCAAGAGGCCTGGCCTCCCAGTCGCAAGGGAAGGGGCCGAGGCTCATTCGATGCAGCCCTCGGTCAGCTCCTGCCTTCAGGTCTGGGATCAGCAGCAGACACAACAGGCTGCTGGGAGCCCAGGTCGCTCTCGGCAACGCGAGACCCTACCTCAGCCATGGTGAAGATCTTGTACATCTCTGGGAGGATGACGGGTGCAACCAGCGGCATCTGTGTGTCAGTGACTTCTCGAGTGAATTCTACAGAGAAGAAAGCAGGCAGTAAAAGTAACACTGCTTCATACACACATTCATGTGACGACTGCTGAACTACTTCAGGGAGCATGCAGGGAAAGACACTGGCCAGGAGCCCTACCCTGGGGTAGGGAAGCGGTTGAATTACTTGCTAGAAGGGACAGAGGACACTGCAGCAATAGAGGAGCGCACACGAGACTGCGGGGGCCCCGCGGTCACCGGGGAGAACCTGGAATCAGCCCAGGGTGTGCCCCGTGCGGTGCCGCGCCTCGGTTCCGCCTTCAGTGCCCGCCCCCTGAAGCCACCGTGACGCACGTGGCTTCCACTCCAGCCTGCACATGGGGACAGCGTCGACTGACCAAGGTCAGGCTGCTGCTCAGAGGAAGAGCAAGGGGTCGCTACCCCGTCAGTCTGGCCATGGAATGACACTTTCCCTTCACGTCCAAAACCTCACGAGGCACCGAGACAGCAAGCTGAGCTCAGAAATGCGTCACCAAACGTGGACCACAGGCCCCGAGCCCGCGTTCGCTCACTTGTCTGCTGCTTAACCAACTGCATTTTGTACTCTGACGCTCATTCTTCAGTTTACCACTCTTCACATAGTTAAGTCCAAAATAAGTTTTCTGAAGTCACTCATCAAGTCAGACAGAGTGCAGGATGCCAGCAGCTGCGTCTCCAAAGTGCTTTGAGATGGAAGAGGGCGCCGAGGCCTGTGTGTCAGCAGCCTCAGCGTGACAGCTGGGCTTGAGCTGCCTTCTACCATCAGCCTTGGTTCTCGCAGATGAACGGTTAGTTTAACAGGAAGCCTTGCTAAACCAGGCAGACAGAACAGGGCCCTGCACAGCCGCGATGAGCCCCTTCTCCTCCTGGTCTCCTGCCCACACATGGCGCCGTGCCCTGCGTGCGCGCCTGAGCGGCCCCTGGAGTGCAATCCAGCCTCATGGAGCAGCTCCCTGGTGCGAGGTGGCCGCTCTCCACCCACGTCCGCCGCCTCCAGTACAGGCGCGCGCCCTGTCAGCTCCTTCCCTGCAGCCGAGTGCAGAGTCATCTCCCCGAGTCACACACAGCAAGGACTCTGCAGCAGGACAACGCTGGGGACAGGGACAGGTACCTTTCCTCCAGGTTTTACAGGAGGAAGCTGAACTTTGTATTGGCAGACAGGGAAGGAATAGGCTTCCTTTCCTTAGCAGAAAATAGATCTGTTAGTTGATATTCTGGCAGCACGAGGTTGTGAATAGAGAGTCCTGGAAAGCTCAGCCCACAGAAGGGTCTGAGAGGTCACCTGAGAAGCAGAGCCGTGAGCAGACGTGCGAGTCTGGGCAGGAGCGTGTGCTTTTCTCAGCGGGGGGCTGCACGCGCCACAGCACACATCACAGGTGATCAGCACAAGCACATCCAGCTGGGCGGGCGACAAGGCGGGCCGCATGGGAGGAGGGGGTGTGAGACCAAACGAGAGGAGGGACTGCTTTTGGACGCAGAACTGGTATAACCAACAATATTAGACCGCTGCTGTTGTTCAGTTGCTCATTCGTGTCCGACTCTGCAACTCCACAGCCTGTACCACTCCAGGCTTCCCTGTCCACCACCTCCCAGAGCGTGCTCAAACTCAGTACTAGATGGACTCATAAAATTGGGCCCCGATGCCAAGTTTAATAAATCAAGACCCACAGAAACGCCCTTCCTAACTAGGTGAGAATACATGTCAGGTGAGCTGGCAGATGCTGGAGGAGAAAAGGTATGAAACGCTGTATAAACAGAAGGAACCATGCTTTCTGACACATCAACCACCAGCGGCTAAGGTCCACACAAGTATTCCCTGAATGCAAAGCAGAGCAGGAGAGAGGAAGCACGGCAGGATCTGCAGAGACTGGGAGACTCCGGCCGTGGGGCGGTACTTAAGAGCAGGTCTTTGAGGGACTGACAGACCACCCATGCTTAGAAGAGCTCCTCACCAAACCTCCTTGGACTAAAAGTTAAAAGTATTTTTCTCAACTGCTCAGAACAGAAAGAAAAGACACCAAAGATTACATATTTTCTAAGCTGGCCAAAGGAAGGTCCTGACTATATCGTGTGACTGTTATTCTTTTCCATATTTCCATAAAAACTTGACTATTCTTATCTTTACATTGAACTACGTGGAGAACACTGTGTAATGACGATGATGATCACATCAGCTGCCACCTCCTGCAAACCCGTCATACTGGCACCAGACACCTGACCCAGATGAGCTCACTGAGGCCACCAGTAGCTCCCGCCAGGTGGATGGCAACATCACCCGGGCTTTACACACCAGGAAACTCAGGTTCAAGAGACGAGCAGGTCGGGTCAAGGTACAGCCAGACTGCGGACTGCAGTCTGCAGGCCAGACCACCACACGCGGCCCTCTCCCGAGGGGGAGGGTCCCTGATGTGGGAGGGCAGCGTGGAGGCGAGAGCGGGAAGAGCGGGGTGCGCGAGGGGTCCGAGGCCGTAGGCCAGGGCATGGTGCCAATACCTGTCAGCACCCGCATGGCACCATGGACGGCGTTCACGTCTCCGCTCACCAGCATCTCCATGAGCAGGTTGAAGAGCTGCGGCCAGGCCTCGGGCCAGTCCCAGTGCGCAATGGCCGACACCGCATAGGCCACGCTGGAGCGCACCTTGCTTATGGACTCCCTCAGGCCGTTGGGCAACAGCTCCCGGATGACGATCTTTGCCTGGAGAGGAGAGAAGCCACCTGCATCAGACCAGGGTGTAAGAGAGCAGCAGGTCGCTACCCAGTTCAGGTGCTGGAAAAGCAATGTGGGCAGGACACTGCATAACTGTGCAGACTCCACAAATACTTCACCCAGAGCTCACCCACGGTCTCCAAACTCATGCTGTCCATTACAGGAACCACCAGGTACAGGTGGTCATTTAAAGTAATGAAAACTAAATGAAACTCAAAACTGAGCTTGTCAGCTGCCTGAGCCCCATCTGAAGCGCTCGGCACCATGAGTGGAGAGCAGCTGTCCCAGACGGCACACAGAACACTCCCACTGCGACAAGTTCCAAAGGACCTCAGACCTCGAGGCATCATGGGGCCCCAGGACGGCTGCACAGCGCCGGACCGGGGAGGAACGCTACCCCATGCAACCTGCAAACAATTCTCTGAAGGTGGAATTTTAGATATTTAGGAAACTGAACCTCAGAAGTTAGAATACTTTTAGAACACTTCATAGCTAGTAAAAGGCAGGCTGGAACGTGAACCAGGTCCGCCTGGCACTCAAGCCCTCTTATCTGCAGCATGTCGCCCAGAACGGCAGCCGCCAATCTCTCCATCCCCTCCTGCCTGGCCTCGTGACAGCCCCTTCTGCTCAGAGAACGCTGACACCCAGGCTCCTACGACGGCCCCTCAAACCTCCACAGCGAGGCAGATCAAGTGCCTTTCCTCACCCTTTCTGTGGTCTCAGGAGGCCTGAACTTCTCCGACTGGGCACACCAGTGAGTCTCCACGTACTGTTTCAGGACAACTGAGGCCAGCTGTGGAGGAAATGAGCCAGGTGGGAAAGCAGGAAAGCCTTTCTTCATACCCCGCACACGGGGCCAACACACCATCTGAAGCCTGTCCACATCTGGTGCAAAACTCTAAGTTATTTATAAATTGGCCTCACCCTTTTGCTTTCCCATAAGAAAGTTTTACCACCCAGTAGAGAGAAGTTACTTGTAAACTGGGCCAGTCAGTCTTGACCTACCTGACGGATCGCCAGTGCCCCCTGGGGATCGACGGTCAACTCTGCCAGGTGGACACCGAATTCTGGAAGAGAAAATGCCACTGTGAGTCTAAGGGCACCCAGGAAAACCACAGTGGTTTACTGAGCTCTAACCCTGATGCCAACAAGAAAGATCTCAGAGAAGAGTCTGATTCGGTGCCTCCAGAAGTGCTAGTGACTGCTCAGACTAACTCCTCTAAGAAAGAGGAGCAGGGAGCCTGCAGTGTGGGGGTGGCTCACCATGAACAGTCCCAGCACCTCTCACTCCCCCTGTCACTGCATGCTGTCTTGCCCTTCAAGGTGGCAATACATGCAGCGTCTAATCGAAAACTGGTGCTACCTAACCCCAAAGAAAACTTAAAAGCTGAGACTTTAGGAGTTGCCCAGATCTACACCATCAGGTAAAAGATGATCAAGTTTAAGAAAATATGGTCTTAACAGGTTTAGTCCTAAAAACACAACTGTTACAAGCCAACAGTTTCTAATAAGCAAAGTAAGTGGTAATTTCAAAATGCATAATGGGAGCTTCCTTGGTGGTACTGTGGGTAAGAATCCTCCTCTCCACACAGGGGACATGGTCTGGATCCCTGGTCTAGAAGACCCCACGTGCCACGGGCTGCCCAACAAGAGATGCCACTGAAATGAGAAGCCCGAGCACTACAACCAGGAAAGGCCACGCGGCCACGGACACCCAGCACACACACAAGTGCACACACACACACACACACACATGAGCATACGGGGATGCTGCGTGCACCACAACCAGGAAGGCTGCGTGGCCACAGAGACCCAGCACACACGTGCACGTGCGTGCGCACGCACACACACACACACAAAGCATATGGGGAGGCTGCACTCTCACTTCCAAATTCAAATTTAGATCCTTCAATGCCATCCCTGCCAAAATTCCAGTGACTGTCCTGTAGAGATAGAAAAACCCATCCTAAATTTCATATGGAATCTCAAAGGATCCCAAGTAGCCAAAACAATCTTGAAAAAGAAGACCTGAACTAGAGGATTCACACGTCCCAACTTCAAAACTTAACTACAAGTCTACAGCAATCAACACAGTGTGGTAGTGGTACAGAGACAGTCATGCAGATCGACAGGACAGATCGCTCGGTATGGAAAGCGCAGTCTGGTCAACACTGGGCGCTAGGACAACTGGATACCCATGTGCGGAAGGATTAACCTGACCCTCACCTCATACCACACACAAAAATTAACTCAAAATGGCTCAAGAACAGGGGGCGTGTGGGATCTTAGTTCCCCAACCAGGGACTGAACTCAGGCCCCCTGTATTGAGAGTGTAGAGTATTCACCAATGGACCACCAGAGAAGTCTCCTGGTCTGAGAACGTCTTAATTCTTCAGCTTTAAAGGTTAACTTGGTGGATGCAGAATTCTAGGCAGGTAATATATTCTCTATGATCACATTCAATATTTCACTCCACTCCTCTCCTGCTTGTATGGCTTCTGAAGGGCAGTCCAACGTAGCTGTTAATTCTTGTTCCCCCACAAGTAAGGTACTGTTTTCCTCTGACTCCTTTTTTTTTTCCCTCTGACTCCTTTTAAAATCGTCTCTTTCTCTTGGTTTTCTGCAGTTTGAATACGCTAGGCACAGCTGTACTTTAGTCTTGCTGGTTCTAACTTGTGTCAAACTAAAATTTTAAGGTAGTCAAATTTATCAATCTTTTTGCTGCCTTTGGATTTTGAGCTGTGGTTAGAAAGCCTTTCTTTATGCCAAAGATAAAGAAAAATTTGTCCATATTTCCTTCTACATTTTTTATGGCTTCTTCTTAAACATTTAGGTTCTGAATCCCTTTGCCACTTATTCTTTGCATGGTATGAGAATGGATCCAATCCCAAGAGGCTCCCCACGCAGCCGTCCCAGCACCTTTACTGAAGGTCTGTCCTCACCGCAATGTTTTGAGATGCCACCTTTATCAACACTAAACTTCCACAGTTACTCGTGTCTGTTTCTAGACTTTCTGTTTTATTCCGCAGTTCTATTTGTCTGTTTGTGTGCCAGTGCCGTGCTGTTTGTTTCAATAATAGAGGCTTTAGGTAAGGTTTCAGTGTCTGCTAGAACTAACTCCTCTTCTATTTGTTGCCTTTGGTGTTTTGGGAGCTACTCCTTCCAAGCTTACTTTTCGGTGACCTTCAGAATCAACCCGTCTCACTCGTCTAGAATGCAGCGCCGTCCTATCCAAGGACAGCTCACAGTCCCATTTGTTCATGCCTGCTTTTAAACCTTTTGGGAATGTTTAAAGTTGCCCCAATAGGTTTCTGCATAGTTCCTGTTCATTTCACTCCTAAACATTTAATCTTTTTGTTGCTATTGTAAAGGACTTAAAAACAAAACAAAACCACTACTATATCCTCTAGCCTTTTACTGTTTGTGTATATGAAGGCTACTGATTCTGTATTTTAACTTTTCTTGTATCTTTTATTTATGCTACCTTACTGGATTCTTACGCATTCTTATTACACTCTTATTTTAATCTACAATTACTGATACAATCCTATGGCGCTTAAGTTTCACTCAGGAAAGGAGAGTTTTGCAAGACTAAAAAAGTCGCCACATTCTTTCTATAGCAGTTAGTAAGTTATTAAATCACAAACAGTTCAAATCCGCAGAACTACCTCCAAAGATACTGAAGTCCATTCTAATTCTTAGGGTTAATCTGGCTAGTTCAGTCTCTGTTAAATTTTATAAAACCCATTTTTAATAGAATAAACAATAGGTCCCTACAACCCAAAGATATGGGAGTCAACTTTCCCAATGGACTAACATAGGTGAGTCAGACTGCTTGGATACTGACCAAAGCTCAAGCTGAGAGAGAGAAAAGCCTTCTGAAGCGCATGTGTGAAACCCACGGAAGGGGGAGAGGGGAAAGGACGCCTCTCAGGGCCCCCACACGCCCTCTGGCCTCAGATCTTCAGTATGACAACGGGTGCTAACTTGAAGGCTCCAAGTTGGCTAAGAAGCTCAGGATTCTCTCCCCTGAACCCTGTCAGCTGATCCTGATGAGCCTATGTGAAGTCCTTCAGAAAGTCTATAACACACTCATAAATTACCTAGGACACACACTGTTTTCTTTTAAGGCATCATTTCAACAATTTTTGCATGGACCACTCCGATACGGATATTAATGTTCCTGCCAAAAGTACAAGGTCTGGATCATCACTACAGGGACAAACGAGATCAAGATAAACAAAATCTTTAACCACAAGGTGTGAAAAAGAAAGATACTGAGGCATAATATAGGACATTTTTGAGAAAGACTTGAAACCTGAGTGGAGACTATAAAGCTTAAGCCGATCTGAATAATTACCTCCCAATGCAAGGACAGATAGTGGTGGAGAGCTCACACCGAGGCTCCCAGAAGCGTGAAGGAACCAGGCCTTCCCCACCAGCCCACCCTGCACCATCAGAAGAGTCGTTACTGCAGGAAGACCCGGCGGGCTCTCCACAGGGGTCCTTTCTCATCAACCCGAGAACCTCCACGTCCACTCTTTTTAAAGAAGAGCTTTGTGTGAACACTTGTTTTCCATCCAAGGCCATGAGGAGGTGGCAGTCTGGTGAGGGTCACAGTAACCGGGAGCTCTTCATTCAAACGTAATCTTTAAATTCATCTTGTTCTGGAACCTATCAAAGATCACACCCCAATTTCCACCACCATGCCTCACACATCACTGGGACTGCAATAAAAGATGGTGAGAGGAAGAGACCATGAGAAGATTAAGATCCATGTGGGGGCCCAAAAACCTACATCAGCCGGGGGATTTGTACCTACAACCCGGTTCTATGGCGGATTTTGTCTGAAAGTTTATTTCCACCACAGAGGAAAGAGGCTTGAAAGTTCAAAAATATGACTCTCTGCTCAAAAGCTTTAATGGAAATCAAAATCTTCAAAGAGTATCACCTAAGGACAAATCTTTAAAACAGAATGGATAAACAGAATAGATTTTCTTCACTACAGGCTCCCAGAATTTCAAAGACAGTGACATGATCAACTTTGGTTTGGAAACCCCCAAAATTCAAAGACAAAGAGCTCATATGCACTAGGTTAAAGGGGGATATAAGAGGGAAGATAGCAATTTTATTTAACCTAATGTATTCTAGACTATACACCCATCATATATATAGGCTATCTGTCACAATAGAGGAGTTTCATACCATAAGATTTAATTTTATTTCCAGTAAATTTTAATTTACTTAAAAAATCGTAAGTGTGACAAGATAGGACAAGTGGTGCTCTGCAGATGGTGACCTCTGTGCTCTATAAAAAGTAACACACAGGATGAAATGCCAGGAAGAAACCCTCAAGCTCTCTGACTTTAAATCTTATCAATACCACTGCCTTATCCACTGGTGACTTCTGTGAAGTAGGAAAAAATCCTATTTACAGATATTCACTTAACAGAGATCATATAGTAGTTTTTGATGCAATATAACTATGTAAATCCATAAAGAAAAAAGTGTTTTTATTTTAGTGTGTGTTGGGGGATTTTCAGTTTTGCTGAAATTAACGTAATTTCTCCAGAAAGCATGAGAACACCTGACTAACTCACTCTGGGATGATTAAGGCGGGGAAAATACAAGAGACACAGACAGCCATCGCTTGCTTACTTTGTCTTGCTTGAAAACGACAAATACAGATTAAAGTAAGATTCAATCTATGAAGTTAAGCCTAAGAGGGACATTCTCAAGCGGGCTATATGAAGTCAGCTTTCTCAAGCCATTTTCCTTAAGAAACTTCATTTCTCTGGTTTCCTCTCCCAACTAACCCTGTGAACCTGGGTTAGCATCAACTCCCAGTGGGGCAGGGTTAACCTCTGACCCGATCCCACATGGCGCGGTCGAACCTCCTCTGGAAGGAGCCTCTCGGCTCTCTCCAAACCACCCTCTGGCCTTTCAGCCTCTGCTGCCCTCCGTGGTTTTCTGTGCTCCCCTTTCTCTCACTTCAACCCACTAGGCAAAAACAGGATCCTTCTACAACTTGGCTTAGAAGGGAAGCTCCAAGGACAGCATGGAGGAGAAAGGATAAGCTGAGAAATACAAGCTCCTGGTCTCAAGGGCCAACTGGAGACTTGAGGCTGGACGGTCAGGAAAGCTCCTGCACCAAGAACTGGGGACCAGCCTGTCTGGGAAGGACAGAGTCTCTGGGGAAGCCCCCTTTCTCACAGGACTTTCACAAAACCACAGCTGAAAGGAAAAAGAAAACTCCACCACTGGCCTTTTTCCGAGCGCGGCCGCCTTCCGCTGGGCTCAGTGCCCACCACGCGCCCAGGAGTGCGTCTGGGTCCTGGAGGGGCTCCCTTCGCAGCTGACAGTGCTTACGCTACACTGCAAGAGAGCCAGAAAAGCGCCCGTGAGAACCAGGAAGCAGACCTCAGCCCACAGGCTTGTCTCTCGAGGCACCAGAGACAGAGTAACACAGACATCTGGGCAGCATGAGATGCCAGGAAAAGCGAGAGAGAGAATCCCCCTCCCCAGCTCAACACAGCGGTGGTGGGAGGAAAGAAAAAATGTATTTTCTGTGACCTATCTGCTGGGAGCAAGACATAAAAAACTAAGTCAGGGCCAAATGTCTTCATTTCTAACAAACAAAAAGAAATCACTAAAAGAAAAAAATGAGCTAGGCTCTCACGCCACATAAGCAAGTGTGCTGTCCGCCCTGCAGTGCAGGGGGCGCGCGCCTGACCCCTGGTCAGGAAACTAAGAGCCCGCGCGCCACAGAGCAACTAGGCACGCACGCCACAACAAAGATCCCAAATGACAAAATGAAGACCTCGAGGGTGTGACTGAGACCCGACACAGCAAAACAAGTCAGGATCAAAAGAAAGTCTGTACTATGCTGGCCTGGGGAAGCAAAGCTTATGAATGAAAGCAACACACTGCACTGCTCAGGTGATGCTGCACTCAGAGGAGAGGAGACAGCAAAGAAAAGAGGGAAACAACTATGTTCTGAGATATAAAAATAGGTCAAGCATAAATACGCCAAAAATAAAGAGCTGACACTCTTAAAAGCCACGATCTTGTTGGAAGTTATACACGCACACAGAGTTCAAAAAGCTGAGTAGAGAACATTAGACTTTGATGTAAGAGACCCTCAACAGTTCACAAACTTTCTTTTATTTTTTTTCAAACTTTCCTTCTTTTAAATGACCAGGTTTATAAGATGTGTGATATGATCCCACCTATTAAATAAAATGGAATCAGAAGAACATTTGAACAGATCAAAAAGACTAATTCTTACTTTATGGAGACAGAACTAAATTCCTACAAACACTGTTGATAAAACACAAAATCGCAACCTTCCTAAGGAAACAAAGGGTACCAATCATCTGCTGGAATTTTACTGTGCAGCCCAGGACCCTCCAAACTCTGAAGTGATAAGTGTCTCAATGCAGGCTGGGAGTGCTGTCTGAAGAAGGTGGCACCATGCCCTCTGTCCATCAGCCCTGTTTACAGGCCTGCACGAGTCAGGAAGGCTTGCTGGGTTCCCTCAGGTTCCCAGTGACTGGGGAGAACAGCAAGCCCAGGGACTCAAGAAAATCACTCCAGCACACCAGGCTGATGGGAACAGCCCGTCTTCATCCTTTCAAAGCTAACCCACTACACAAGTCAGGTGGACCTCTCACACACATACACTTCTTTGGCTTTAAGAGAACAGACTCCAATACTGGAAAATATGGGAACTGGGGGGAGATGAGTTATTTCCTGGAAAATACCTGCTTGCTGGCTGAATGACCCAGATGTACCTTGGGCTCCAGCACCTCAATTTTCCACGATAACTGTTTCTTAAAATCTCCTCTACACCAGACTCTGGCCAGAGCATGACAACCTCTCTCGTCTGTCTACTTAACAGGGACTTTACAACTGACCTGTGTCTTCCCCCCCAAATTAAATGAGATTCTTCCACTTAATCACCAAGACTCGGGGTCATCACTTGGCAGCCAAGGAAGGTAACAGACCTGTTTGTCAAAGGGAACAGACGAGTTAATCTCAAGGATCACCTGGGACCAGTCTCCCAGGCGAAGCAACAATAAATGGCTCATAAAGACAGTGTGGCTATTCGAGGGGTCTAGAAATAACCATGACTGGTTGTCATCCAACCTTGGGCCTCATGGAACCAAAAAAGGATCGAAAGACCACAAATAATAATAGCAACTCCCAGATTTCCCATTAATGCCCACGTTTTAAGGAAGTGTAACTTCTAGGACCAGAAAGCAAGGTTTCTCCTACTAGTATAAAATTAAAACAGGAAGCAACTCCAAAGGAGTGGAAAAGATTCATTCATTTGCAAGAACAGCTGCTTGCCTTGGCCTGCAGGGTGTTCTAACACTGGGAGCAAGGCCCTGCCCGCTTCACCAGGGCAGACAGCTGGCTAAGGCCTGGCTGGGAAACCACGTGCTCTGTTTTCCTTAAAGAACACAACCACGGAAAGGAAATGTGTGAAAATGAGAACATGAGACAGAAGGTACTCTGCACCCAATGACAAAACACAACGTGCCAAACGCCACAAGGAGAGGAAAAGAGAGAAGCAAGGCACTGTATCTGAGGGAGGGAGCACTACCCTCCATCTCAGAAACAGGTTACTGAAAGGGGTTGCTCTCTCTAGTTTTTACTTAACAGGAATTAGAATATTTAAAAATCTAAATAACCTCGAAAGGGTCCAAAGTACCGTGTTCAACTCCACAGACTCGATAAAGCCCTGCACATTACATCCCGAACCTGCGTCTATGCCTTCCTACTGGGTCCCCAGCAGCAGGCAGCTGCACGAAGTCTCGTCACACCTCCAAGCACATTCCCAGTAAGTTATGCGGGGTGTGTGTGTCAATCTATTCCCATCAGTGGCAGAGATCAAATGCGAAAATTCTGCCCTTCTGTTTAGTTTTTCATTTTGAGATCCAAACAGATGAAGTAAGAGAGCAGAACTGCAAGAAGATCTCAAGATGATGGCTGACTCTGCCTAGATGGGACCGTGGTGCTGGCCATGGCGGAAGGGCCCAGAGCCCAGCTGCTGCCGGACAGCTTTAACAGGAGCCAAGGCTCGCCTTCCCTAGGGGCACCGGCCACCCTGGTACCACCCAGGGAAGGCACCATATCTTCAACATCACTCAAGTAGTAAACTGAATGTGACAAAGTTCCTCTGCTTCTTTCTCTTTCGTACCCAAGGGAGGCAGAGGCGTTGGGGACTAAAGGAACTTCACCCAGGAGGCAGAGGTAACTCCCGTAGGTCAGTCTGCACAGGGTTCTCAAAGCTTTCTCCTTCCCGCCCAGTGGCTGCTCCTCTTACAGGGTCTGACATTTCACAAAACAATGACAGTTAAAACTGGACCTTCAAAATGGTCCTCAACCCGCAAAATTCCAGATCTCAACATATGACCAGTAGAGATAACTTAGTTTTTCAAGAGCTTTCTCATGCTGTGGGAGAATATAACATCAAATTTATGGGAGCTTTGTGTTATTTAAAAAAAAAAACAACCCTCAGTCCATAGGAGGGCCAACTCCCATGGCCAATCTGAGAGGTGCTGGGGCCGTCCTGCTGAGTTCGGGGAGTCCGCAGGTTTGGAGTTTTGCCTACGAAGCCCCGACAGACCAGCCGTGTTCCCGACAGAAAGCCCGAGCGGATTCCCCTCCTCGGGTTTCAGGATCCAATGCTCATTGGAGCGTGGCTGCCCCGGGCCTGCAGAAAGGCCCGCTCGGCAAGAGCTGGCGGACAACATCAAACCAAAGGCTAGTCTCGTCCTCCATCACTCTCGAGCTCCTAGTAGGAGGAGAGGGACAAAGACGCAAAGACAAAGGACGGCCGGCCCCTCCGAACAGTGCCGGCCGATCGGAAGACGGGCGGGGCGGGGAGGAGCCCGCACAGTGACCGACTCCCGGGGACGCGTGCGGAGGCCCCGCCAGGCCCCCGGCGGGCCGCCGCGCCCGGGAGAGCGCCCCCACACCCCAGCCCCCAGTCTCGAGCCCCGGGCTGCCCGGAGCCCTCCGCGTCGCCGCCCAGTCCGGCCCTCCAGGCCAGGCCTCCCCGGGCCCAGTCTCCGGCCAGGGCTCGGGCAGCGGCCACCGCGGCCCAGACCCGCCTCCCTCGCGGTGGCCCGCCTCACTCACCCTCCGTCACCTCCAGCACCTTAATCTGCTCCTCAGCGGCCGCCCGCACGTCCTGCACCGGGGACAGAATCCCGGTGAGCGTGTCCACCAGCGCCTCCTTCATGGCCAATCCGCAAAGCCGCGCCTGCGCACTGGCCGGCGGGAGCGCGGGGGCGGGCCGCGCCCGAGCCTCCGGAGACAGCGCCGCCTGCCGCGGGAACGAGAACTGCATCGTCTCCACAGGAACCCGACCCGGGTGGCGGAAGAGGGGCGGCCAACGGCCAGTGCGCCGCGTCCGCCGGAGCGCAGCCCTGACTTCCACAGGCACGGATTCCTCAGGTGTAAGACACCACGTCAGAAGAGGGCAGGATGAGGATCTGCGGACAAGGCTTTAGGGAGAGGATCTGGATTAGCGCCTGCTTCAAACAACCTCTTTTGCCCCCAAACAAGCGAGTTTTCCTCTCAGCCCCAGGAATCCAGAGGTCGGGGGAAAGAATCTGAAGCGTCTGGAGTCCATTGGTTTGTTAGGTGGATGAGTCCAGCCTCAAAGACTGGCTAGGAGAGACTGCCGTGGGAAAGGGCATTCCTTCCAGAGGAAGTGCTTATATGACTATTTGAGAGTAAGCCCTATTAGTTGAGAAACTATAACTTTTTTTCCAAGGAACTTATGGCTGGACCTTAAAGAGGTGGAATAGTGAGTGGTTAATATGGCCATCCTGGGCCGACCGGGGGCAAGTCTCAAGGTGTAGACACTCCTGAAGCCTGGAGGACTGCTGAGAGGGGTTAGCAGTGCAGGGCAGGGGCTGGATCCCTTGTTGGACCAGGAGGGTCAGAGCAAATGGGAACAGGCATTCGTTAGTAAGCGGTTCAGGTTAAGCCCCTTAAAAATGTTTTTAGGAACCATGACTCATTCCCAAGCAGCAAAGGAAACCAGCCATCAGTTCGTAGCCTAGTTCTAAGACTGCGGAGGCTACTCTGGCCACAGGGAGAAGCCACCTCACCTGAGTATTCTTCCGAAAGAATGATTCCTTGATTACTTACATTGAGAAGAGCTCTAAACCCATTTGCCACCTCCTGTTAGAGGGCAGAACCCACTCCATCCTTCTTGCCTGGAGAATCCCATGGACAGAGGAGCCCAGTGGACTGCAGTCCATGGGGTCGCAAAGAGGCAGACACGACTTAGCGACTAAACCACCACCATTAGAGGCAGAGGTGGCTTGTGTCACCAGCACAATTTTGTAGGGGAAAGATATCCATTTGGAAGCTGCAATTCCCCAGTAAGAAAGAGGCTGTTCTTTCAGTGGCCAGGAAAGGCAGAATTCCATTAGAATAGCCTCTTTTCTCAGACGTCATGTCACTTTTACTCCAAGAAGAAAACTTAGGCAAGTCCAGAGGGTGGTATGCTTTCAAACATCGTGGCAGTGGATGGAGAATTCCAGAGCCTCGACGTCTGCACTGGACGTTTCAGGTTCTGGTGAAGGACGCTGGTCCAGTATGCAAGCAGGCCCCTGTGCCACCCCCAGCCGAGGGGACTGAGAGACTCCTGCGTAAGGACTGAGGAGCAGACATCTGGGCAGGTGGGTCTTAACTCTGGGTTTGGCAAATGACCTTCCCCATCAAGGCATGGACCAGAAGATAAATAAGACAAAAACCAGACAGAGGGAGCTAGAGAGAGCCAGCGGACAACACAGGAGATAACTTTATTGAAACGCAAATGGCATCGAACAGGTGACTTGCTGGGAGGAGACATGCCTGATGGACAGAGGACCCAGGTGAGGGGGCTTCTGGCAGTGAGGGAATAAGGCCTCATCCACTGGCCCCGGGATGGATTTAACTGTCAACCGATTTATTATTTAAGACAAATCACCCAGCTCTCTCATGATTGTTACCGCAATTATGTATAAATACAACAGCTCCCTTTCTCTACATCAGATACGAAAGGGGGTAGGTTGAAAAAGGGGAAGGCCAATGATAAAAACCAAAATACAAAGACACACACACATCCTGGTTTGGGGGGTTTGTGCCCAATAAATTAAAAAAAAAAAAAAGTGTTGTAAAGATTCCTGCCCACCTTCCACCCGAGGATCGCCATGCATTTGAGAAACAAAGACTCCATCACACAAACAGTGCTGCCTAAAACAGGACAGGTGAGGACAAGGAAAGGAACTCAGCAAGGGCTGGAATTTGTTTGAGAAAAAGGTTGTTCTGTTAAAGAAACAAAAAACAAGAACACTTAGGAAGCAGGAGACTCCTAAGCCACTCCATAGCAGTGGCCCGGAGACTGGCTGGGACCTGGAGCCCTTGCCTTCTCATCTGCGTTTTCAGTCTGGAGACATGGCAGGGATGTGGGGAGATCCACAGGAGATGGAGAACCCGGTGGCCACGGGGTGACTTCAGTGCAGGCTTCATGCCTTCCTCGGGCTCTCGTCCTCCTCCAGGCACTTCGTCCCTGACCCCAGGAGGCCCAGTGCCAGATGGGTCTTCGTCCCCCACCTACAAGCGCTCTCACAGGGCAAATGGACAAACTCTAAACAAGGCCAGTTGTACACACCTCATCTCCCCCATGGCGCCATCTGTGAGTTTGGGAAAATACGAAGCTCTTTTCAGTTAAAATAAATTTTTTTTTATTGGGGGAAGGATGGATGCCCCGAGGACCCTCTGCTCCACCTCTGAGAAGGCTCTCCTGCGGCCAGGCAGGGCTGGGGGCGGGGCGGGCAGAAGGTTCTGGTAGGTGCCCTTTAGAACTGGGACAAGGGTGAGGGGTGCTGCCAGGACAAGTCTGGTGGAAATACAGATCAGACTTTTAAACTGCTCTCATCCCATCAGCAGAAAAAGGCTGAGTTGAGAAGAATCACCCAGCAGGAGACACCTGGAGGAGCCCTCCCTCCTCGTCCCCCCGGGAAGCCCCCTGGAAATCTCAGAGCTGTGACATTTTTCCCTGGAGGTTGTGTTCTCCAAGGAGATGCAAGCATTCCCCTAACTTCTGCCCAAAAGCACACATACTCTTTCTTTTTGTTAAATAAAAGTAAAGACAGAATCATGAGGATACATGAGAAGACCTTGAAACTAATGTTAAAGTCTGAATTTTAACCTAGAACCTTATTCGTGGTCCTAAAGCTCCAGTGTGGGGACTCTGGTCCTTGGCTTTCCGTGACACAGTGAATTGAAACTGTGGTGTACAGCACATTTACCAAGAGGGTTCGTTAAAACACAATTTGCTGGGCCCTCTCCCTGGTTTCTGATTCAGTAGGTCTGGGATGGGGTTTGAGAACTTCATTTCTACAAGTCCTCAGATGCTGCCGACACTGGTGGTCTGTAAACAGATCTAAGAACCTCTGCTTTAAGAAATGAAAGAGGTGAATCAAAGGACTGATGCTGACTTCCTTCCATAACCATGCCTGTCACAGAAATCTCTCCAGACAGCCATTAAGAGACCCAAAGGCCAAACTGGGAGGATCCAGTAGTACAGGCTTAATACCCCACTGGACTGGCAACCCTGCAGCTTCCAGGTTTCTCTTGGCGTGTGTCCTCACTTTCAGACTATGCCTTCTCCCACAGGGCCTGTGATGGGAGTATGTGCTCCTGGCTGGGCTGACGAGTACACGTGGGCAGTGGGCAAGCCGAGGTGGTGGCCCCTATGGCCCTGACAAGGTTGACTGAGGGTTCATGAATATATACAGTGATTTCAGTTATAAAGGGCATTATTCTCAGGCTTTGGTCTTCTGAGAACAGTGTCCCTAAAACCATTTTCTTACTATGGCCTCTTTGGTGGGGCCATGGACCAGAACTCAGTAGTATAATAGTTATCCAGTCATCCTAGGACGGTTCCAGTGTCCCAGCAGCAAACCCTCTGGAAAAGTACATTTCATCATCAGTGTGCAGGCAGTGGGGTGGGGGTGGGGGTGTTTATAGAGTCTCCCTACTAGCTTCTGCTTAGCTAAGGCCCAGGAGTAGGGAAGGAAGAAGCATGAGAACGTGGTCAGTCCTAGAAAGAGGCCCGTGTGAAATGTGCAATGAGGACAAGACCAGCTTCCTTTCCCAGACACCCTGCAGTAGAGGGTCCCGCAAGTCTCACCCTCATAGGCAGCCTTCGCCTCTGTGCAGGGCTCGTGTGTGAGGTGTTGCTGGGAGGGGGCTCTCTCCTCCCTTTGGAAATAAAGTGACTTCTGAGACTGACGGGGTGCCCATCTGAATACCTGGGGTCTTGTTGCAAGGAGCTCGAAGTGAATAGATGAGATTAGGCCCAAACCAGGAAAAGCGGAAGAAAGAAAAAAAATTAAAAAATGCCTATGTTGTCTTAGGTCCTCAAGGAGGATGGGCAGATTAGTTGATCATTCAAAACCAAAGCTTAGCCTTCGGACCGCTAGGGACTCTGCGAGGGGACCCCCCCCAAGACCTCAACCAGCCTCCAGCTTCCTGACACGCAGACCACACAACAGAGACGCTGAGACGAGATGCGCGCACAGAGATGAGCACCGCGGAGCTGCCCCGGAAGATGCGACGGCGGCAGCCAGCCGCTCCCGGAGACACACACACAGACAGCCCGTCCTCTGCCGGCCTCGACACCTCGCGCTTTATTTCTGGTGCCTAAGCAGGAGCGGAGGACAAACACACTGGACAAAATGTGGTGGTCTCCTTCATCCAGAAATGGGGGCCGTGGTCGCACCTCTGCCCTGAAGTGGGGCTGGGCACCGAAGCACGTGGTCTGCTCGCCAGATGCGGTGAGGAGAGGAGCTGGGGGTGGGAGGGGGCGGCACCGTCTGGTCCTGGAGGGGCTGGGTTTTCTCAAGGTGCCAGGGTGCGAGTTTAGCCCTGGGACCTGGCCGTCCCTTTCTGAGGGGTCCCAGCGTCTCAACCAAGAAGCAGGGGGACAGGTGGGAGAGGATGCTGTGGATCTGCGCTGGCCACTCACTCCAGGGTGGGGGCGGAGGGGGGTGTTGGCTTCAGAGGAGCCTGCGTGAGCGCCGAGGGGCCTAGCACCGTGAGGAGGCTCGGCCAGCCGCAATCGCCATGTCGCCGCGATTCCTGGGGGATGACCGTCACCCACAGCCAGGGGCCCAGGTGGACAACTGGAAACAGAGTCCAGGCTCCAGAGGGACAGTGGTGGGCGGTGCCCCCTCACCAGATGGGAGCCCACTTTCTGGAGGCAAGCAGCTGAAGAGCCAAGTGCAATGCTGCTGTTGGCTGAGAAGAGCTGTGGGCCAGGGGTCAGAGATGAGGCGCCAGAATCCCAGGCCTCCCAAGCCAACCTGCTGAGATCCAGGCAGAGTGCACGCTGACCGGGGAGGCAGGCATCGCTCCAGGGGTTCTGAGGCAGTTGGAATGGAGGAAGGGGGTCACCCCTTTCCTTTTTCTCAAGTCGCCAGTAACACCCAGGACAGAAGGCACCGGCCGGGCAGCACCGAGAACAGAGACAGGGCTCAGCCCTGGGGGGACAGCGCTGGGGCCTGAGCCCAGCCATGGGGCCATGGCCAAGGCGGGGCCTGGAGGCCAGCGCCCAGGGGAGGCCACCTGGTGGGACGTCGTCTTGTCCTTCCTGGGACGCCCCGCTCCAGGGCCGCCTCCTTCTGCACGGCAGAGACCTTAAGGCAGTGATGTCAGCACCATCCTTGGACAGACAGCCTCTTCCAGTGGGAGAATTGCATATTTTCTGGCAGGGTTGGGGTCTTCACAGCTCTAGCAGCATCAACAGACATCCCCTCCAGCAGATAAGACCCGTCATCGCTGGGTGCCACCAGGTGAATGCAGAAGCTTCTGGGAGGAGCAATCTGACCACCTTTTGGACCTAAGTGAACCTCTTCTGATAGGAAGATTCAGATGCAGCTGCTCCTTGGTTTGGCGGGACAGAGAGAGCCAGGTTAGTGGTTACTGTGCCTGTAGGTTCTGATAAGAGTGTGTGCTACTTGGGGCTCCAAAGAGCATCACAGATCCCTGGTCTGCAGAGCCAAACCATAGCCTCGCCAGGCAACCCAGTGCACTGGGCAGTTAATCGTGGGCTTCTTTATGGCTAGTTCCTGTGGTTTGGACGCCATTTCTCAGGTGATCCTGAGGGTCCAGAAGATAAGGAGATGTGTGTTTAGTGGAGATTAATGTTTCCTACTAGACTGTGAATGTAAGGGTTCACGTCTTTCTTTATACCTAGTGACTGGTACACAGTAAGTGCCCAATAAATGCTTGTCCAATTAGGACTTGCCGAACCTTCAGGGCAACTTCTGCAAAAGGTGGATCCCTTTGGAAGGCAGATCTTTGCCACCAAATCAGACTCCTTATATTCTGATTGGGAGGTCTCAAGTGGGTGTCCACACCTAAGTGAATCTTCGCTCGTTCAGAACCAACAGTAAAAGCCAGCAGGGGTTTTGGATTCAGTCAGGCAAAGCAGCTGCCATCAGAACAGTGCAGTGAGGGGCTCCACAGGCCACAGACGGAGGGAGATTTCTAGTTTCCGGTTTCCCTCCAGTCCGTGGGGAAGCTCAGCTGAGGTCTTCTGTCAGAATGGGCCCACGTTCTCCTCCAGAGACTGGCCGCCATGCTCCAGGGAGAACGTGTGGGATTCGAGGTCCCTCCTGTCCCAATACTGTGCTGGCACTTTAGGTCCTATGAGAGCCCCAAAGGTGCCAGACACGGCTGCGTGGCAGGCGTCTTGAGGGTGCCAGTCGCCCGGCGTTGGACTCTCCACAGGGCAGCTTGGAAGAGCCAGACCAGCCCCAGGAAAAGCAGCTTGAGCATTCGTGGACTTGTGAGGATACAGGAAAACAAGCCGAGAAAGAAGAAGAGAATAAGTAGGCAAATGGGAGGGAAAAGTGGAAACAAAACAAAAATTAAAAAAAAAGTCGGGTTTATTGACTCGTGTGTTAATTTAGACGATGTGAGCAGAGCTGGCGGCATTTCTCTGAAGGCTGCAGTGGCATCCTCGTGGTCTGGCCGTGTCTCAGGTGGGCAGCTGTCTCGCTGGTATCCCCTGTGTGTCCAGAAGGGGGGCGGGCAGAACACCTCACAACTGGACTTCCTTCCTCCAGCTTCCTTTTTTCCTGTTTTTTTTAAACCTTTTACAGATTGATTTAATGTTTGTAAACCACATGCTTTTTTTTTTTTTCCGGGCTGCAGCCGGATCTTGGGGGCAGGGAGAGCTGTTGGCAGTGGATGGAACTGGGCAGAGTCCGAGGGAGGGTCCAGGAGCCCCCTCCTCCCAGAAGTCTTCCCCAGGTGAGGCTGTGTCTCTGAGCCGTTCATGAGAATCAGTTAGGAACTACCGCAGGCTTGTTTGATGTCTTCTAAACCCCTCCCCAGAAGGCCCAGGAGTTTGTAATTGAGACAAGAAATCAAGGAAAAAGAGTCAGGATCATCTTCTCCCCAAAGTCACCGGAGGAGACTAGGAGATGGATCTGGGGACGCGAGTCCACCCGTCAGTCCCACAGGGAGTTCTCCAAGGTGCAGCACCAGGAACCTGCCCCTTCCTCCACGGCCCCTCCTGTCCTGGGGCTGGAGAGCCCGCGCTGGGAGGAAGCGGGAAAGAGGGGACAGCACAGCACTGTCCCCGCCCCGCTGTCCTGTGACTGGTCGCTGGGCCCTCAGAGCGTGGCCTGAAGGCTGGGGTCCAGGATGCTCTCTCTGTCTGGAGACTCGATGTAATTGGCAGCTTCCTGCAGTTTCAGCAGCATGGCCATCTAAAGAGGGGCAGAGAGACAGCTAAGGAGAGTGGAGACTTCACACAGAGAAGATGGGGTCTGCAAGTGGTTGAGAGCCCAGGGAGTGCAGGGCCGGTTCGGGAACAGGCTGCGATGGCTACTTCCACCCTGTGTGCGCCCAGTCCTGGGGAGTGAGGGGTGGGCTGGGGGCAGCGCGCGCGGTGACCTGCTGGCCACTCCCTGGAGGATGTGGGGTCCCCAAGGCTACCTAACAGCTCTTCTCCAAGAGGCTGTGGCCCAGGGGCTAAGGGCTGAACTCAGTGCCATTAGGACCTGCTTCGCCCCAGGCCCGTCCCATCACTCCAGCCCCGCCCTATCGCCCCCACCAGGCCTGGCCTGGATGCGTGTCTTCACCTCCTGCCCTGGTCCCCTCAGCTTCCTCAACAGGTCAGAACTCTGACCCCCTCATTCAGCTAAGGAAGCGTCGTTGTTCCAGCCTCCTGCTTACATGATTAACACTGTGCTGACTTAAAAGCCTTTTTATGCAGAGAACACCTGTTTTCGACAAGGTCCAAATTTAAATGAAATGTATCAGGGTTAGGGTTAGAAGGACCTCCCACTGGCTATAAAAGTGCAAGATCTCGGGTTTGTGCATGTGTCCACACCATCTGCTAAACCGTCCCGCAAGACGGCTTGATGACCAACACCCCCTCCAGCAGAAGGAAGGGCCGAGCCTCCCACACGTGTGACTCTGCTAACATGAACCTGTCACCTCCCTGTCATAGGCATCCCCTCCGTGATTAGAGAGGGGAAGGGTCTTCTTCTGTTTTTATCCTCTAGTCAAAGCCTGCTCATATCCTTGGTCCATGTTCTGTGTGGAAGTTTCAGGGTTGGGTCATATGCTTTGGGTGTCAATTCTCTTCATTACAAGCACTGTAGATATTTTTGTAGTTTGTCACTTGTCTCAGCCTATTTTCTTTCTTTCTTTTAAAATATTTATTTATTTGGCTGCTCCGGGTCTTAGTGGCCACATGCAAACTCTTAGCTTCAGCATGTGGGATCTAGTCCCCTGACCAGGGACTGAACCTGGCCCTCTGTCTTGGGGAGGCGGAAGGGAAGCCCCTCGGCCCCCTTTCTAAGAGCTCCTGGAGTCACCGCGCAGTGGCTGTCCCCAGGACGACCCCAGGGAGCATGGACAGGAGCAGGACCAACACCTACAGGTCCCCGGCTGTTCCCACCCGGCCTCTGCCGGACACACACGCTGCTGGTGGGTGATGCCGCTTAGCTCAGTCCGGGATTCTCATGTTCAGAACTGCCACCGCTGGCCTCGTGTTCGCCCTGGCCTCTGGGCCCAGCAGGGTGTGGACGAGGCTTCAGTTCTGTGACACCTGACTTCCCCCTTATAGCAGCCTCTACTCACCAGTGGGTCTGAGTCCAGGGAGCTGGGGGTGCTGTCCTTGACTGTCCTGTCCTCAGGGGGCGAGGCAATGCTGTGAGGGCCCACAGTGGGGGGCGGCAGGTGGTACAGCTTTGACTGGTCTTGTTGGGCTGAGGGCCAGGGAAGAGTGTCCCGGACCCACTCCACAGGGTCCTCCCAAGCAGCTTTCTGCCCGTGAACCTGGAGAGAAGGAGCGGTGTGATCACTGGTGGAGCGCCCGCAGATGAGAAGCTCCTGATGTGTGTGTACACGAGCGTTCAGCCCCAGTCATGTCCAGCTATTCTCGACCCCCACGATTGCAGCCAGCCAGCTCCTCTCCATGGGATTTTCCAGGCAAGGATACTGGACTGGGTTGCCATGCCCTCCTCCAGGGGATCTTCCCGACCCAGGGATCGAACCCTTGTCTCTTATGTCTCCTGCACTGGCAGGCGGTTTTTTTACCACCGCACCACCTGGGAAGTGCCCTGAAGTGTACGTACTTCCTCAAATGTAAAGCCATGAGGTTTGGCTTCCTGTAGGATTTTGAATTTCCCAAAATGGGAAATAAAATAAGTTGGCATAGATTGGTAGAAGCCATCTTGTTTGTTTTTTAAGTTTTGGCCATAGCACACAGCATGTGGGGCCTTAGCCCCACCTCACCCAGAGACTGAACCTGCGCCCCCAGTGCTGAAAGGCGGAGGCTTAACCACGGGGCTAATGGGGAGTCCCAAGACCATCTTGGAGAATGATTTGGCAAACTGTATTAAAACTTGACAAGAACCCCACAAATCATATGACCCTGCAATTTTACTTTCCAAGTAAGAAATGTCAGTTCGGTAATAATACCTTTTGAAAGAAATTTGGGCTTTGCTGAAAGGAGATATCTGTGTGAAAATGGTTTAAATTAGAAAACTGTTAATAATCAAAATTAAAACGATGACACACTGCACCTCTGGAAACCTCCCACATCATCAGACGGTGTGTGTCACGCCGACACATGACTCATGGATAAAACATGACCACGGGTCTAGTCTCCACATCACCGGCTAGTGGACCAGTGGTGAGTATGCCCTAATTTATGGTGAGAAAACTGAGGAGGTTTTTAAAAGTGACAGCTGCCTTTTGTACAAAGTTCTTACTCTAACTTTTACAAATGTTTTCACACATTTCATTTGCCTTCAAAACAGAGCAAATTTATACTATCTCCTTTCTTACATATGAGGAGTTTAAAAAGGTTAAGTAACTTGACCAGAATAACATTTTTATTAATAATTAGTAATGAGCTAAAGCTATAATAGGATTTTACTTAATTCTTAAATCAGTTGTTTATCTGCCCAAATCCCTAGGGAGTAGTTTGAGTTTGGAGGAGAGTCAGAGGCCTAGGACTGGACACGCAGCCCCAGGTCACTGGCCGTTTAGCTGTTTGCTGGACGCTGGCCATAAGCAGGAAGGCAGCATGATCTGTGTAGTGCCTCGCCGGGCCTGTTAGGAGGAGATCCTAAAAATCTCAGTGGCCGCGTGTCTGACGCTGTCTCCACTCTGTGACGTGGGCCAGCCTGGCCTTGGTTGAGCAGAATCCAGGGCGGGCTCACCTTGATGCCGTCCTTGGCCCCTTCCTGTAGGTAGGGGATGATGGAATTGTTCCACAGATCAATGAACCAGGTCCGGAAATCCTCAATGCCGATGGGGCAGGACAGAAAGAAGCAGGGACCTGGCAAGAGAAGAGGGCCGTGAAGATGGCCGAGAACCTCACTCTCCCTGGCCATCTGCCCCACTGACTCCCTAATACCAGGCAGAGGGCCTTGGAACCAAAGGGTGAGAGAAGCACAGGGCTGGGCTTAACTGAGATCGTGGTCAAGACAGCGGGAGCTGACAGCCTGACGCAGCCTCAGAAATGATGCTTCTCCAGGTCGACGGGAGGTGGGGGAGCCAGAGGCAGCTTTAAGCTCCCCTGACACGTCCCCTGCGCCCTCTCGGCGCTTCTGGGGAGTGCGGGGGAGGCCAGCACTCCGAGAGCTGACGCAGGCAGGGGGGTCACACTGGGAGCTTGCCCAGTGGCCTGCAGTTCGAGGCTGCAGGCATGGGGTCAGAAGTCCTGCACACGCTGAAGACGCGGGAGGGAAGGGCCCCCCAGCCCCGCGTGGGCGAGGCGCGGGCCATACCGATGAGGAAGTCAGAGGTGCTGTGCTTCTCCAGGAAGGTGTGCAGGTGGTACCACAGCCTGGGCACCCAGTCCAGCACCCGCAGCAGCTCCTCCCTGTTGGCGTTGACGTCGCTGTCTGATTCCACCAGCTTCCTCCGCAGGTAGCGAACCAGGAAGCCGTTGGCAGGCTCCACGTTGTTGGAGAAGGTTAGCATCCTGTGGCCAGGGATACAGACGGTTGGGGGGGGCACTGCACAGGGGCATGTCGACTCCGCTCCCACCCCACCCGAGCTGCCTGCCTCCCACTGAGGCAGAGCTGGCGCTCAGATCAGTGACCCCCTCAGAAAACCATCAGCCCCCACTGGCCTGGATGAGGGGTGTGTGGGCAGAGGCTGCACCTCTTCCTGCATCAAGGGCCCTTCTCCCCCTGCGCCGACACGGCACACACCTCCTCTCCCAGCCCACAGGGCGCTGCTACTTCTCTTTCCTTCTGCTGTCCCTCTGGCCAGATCCCGGACTGAACTGGTTTACAGACTTGGGGGCATCTGGAGGTCCATTCAGGGCCACAGATCTTACCTGAAGCTCAGGTGCAAGCCGTGATTGGGTGTCATTTTTACCGGTTGATTAGTGGTACCAATAATATAGGGACTGTGGGAAGAGAGAGGAAAAAGACTGGCTTAGACCTGTCTGAACACTCGATTTCTGCCGTCTGCCACCCTCTACCCCGTGGAAAGCTGACAGCTTGGGCTGGACCAGCCCAGGCTCCCCTCTGCCCACTGTGGTGAGTCTGGTCCTGACTCCAGCTCACCATTTGTGATACTTGCAGGTCAGGGCCCCATTGACCAGCTCGCTGATGGAGCCTGCCTCACTGAGGTCATCCAATAGGATCACCAGGGGGACGTCCCCAATTCCTGTTTCCCGGTCTATCTGGTTGGCCAGGTTGGAGAGATACAGCTGCAGATCCTGAAATGAAAGAAGGAGGAGGTCAGCACTCAGGAGCAGCAAAGCCCCCAGACCGGCCTTGCAGAGGAGGGTTTTGGAGGAGCTGGGCTGGTTCTGGATCCCCTGGGAGGGGCCTTGGTTTCTGTGTGATGCGCTTGGATCTGTGACTGCAGAAGCCCACCACCTGAGCCTGATTAGCAGTGGCTCCTAAATCCCTAAAGGTTGGGGAACACACTTGTCTTAAATCAACGTGCACAGAACCTGCACCGGGAACCACCGCAGTGGACACGCCTCCCTGTGGAGCACAGCATGAGGGCACCGCGGAGGGGGAGCTGGCAGGGACAGCACAGCACGTGACAGGCCGGCGGGCGCCCCTAAAGGGAGCCAGCCCACGGTCAGAGACACGTCCTAGAGAGAGAGGCTGAGGGGAGGCAGGGAAGGAGAAGGAGAGATTGACAAGGCGGGCAGAGGGCTGGTGGGAGGTGAGAGGGACAGAACGTGGCCCGTGGTTACTGCGGGGGCGGAAGCTCCGGGGGAGGGAGGAGCCTGAAGTAGGGCTGCTGCGGGGGGAGGGGAGCACTGTGGAGCAGGGAGGCCCAGGCGGGGTGGGTGGAGCGAGCAGGGCCACCTTGCAGGACTGCTGGTGCATGTTGAAGGTGCTGACGATGCCCTCTGTGACCTCGCGGCCGGAGCGTTCCACCAGGTACTCGGCCAGGCGGTTGGTCAGGTAGGTCTTGCCGGTGCCACTGGGGCCCGAGAGAACGAGGCGCCGGTGCTTGAGCAGGAGGCCGATGTAGTGCTGCATCATGGGCTTGGGGATGAGAGTCTCAAACACCAGGCTGTCCACACACTTCTCCCTGAGACCTGCAGCGCGCCCGCCTGCGTGAGCCGGCGCCGCCGGGCCCCACAGGACCCCCTGGGCTGGCTCTGGACACGCAGGGAAGGCCATGTGCTATGGGGGCGGGTGGAGGGGAAGCCCAAGTGGGGCAGAAACGTCCTGTGAACAACATGTTCCCTGGGACGAGTCCAGACCAGGTGAGCCTATCTTGTGTCTCCTGGTGACCTCCGCCCTGCAGCCCCTCAGCCAGTTCCTGCTCCAGGAGTACACGGCGCACCATCTGATGGTCCCCCATCCCACAGCCTCGCACCCAGGGCCCGGTACTGGCCTTTGAGGGAGACCGCTATGCTGTTAACCCCTCGGCGGCAGGGGGGCAACTCCGGGGGCTCCGCGTCCAGGAGCCGTTTCACGTGGCTGATACTGTAGCCGTGGATGGACTCGGTGCTCAGTCCCAGCGTGGAGGCCGGGTCCATCTTAGAGATGTAGTCCTGACGGGACGGGACGGGGAGAAAGGAGGTGCTTGAGAGGGACGCGGAGGAGATCAAGACCACAAGAAGAGCAGTGCTACAGGGCACAGCGATCCACGAGGAAGGGGAGGAGCCGTCTGTCTCCTGGGGGCTTCTGCTCGGAGCCTCCAAGGCCCGGGTCCCGGTGTTCTCAGAGGACCAGCAGTCCCTGAGCTCCTGCACCTCTTACCTTGAACACCTGGAAAACAGCGTCGTCCAGCAGCTTCCAGTCAACCTTCCCACTGACCTTGCTGCACCCCAGGAAGAACTCTTGCTGCTTCAGGTCCTATGAGGCCAAGGTGGACGGCTCAGGAGCTGAGCTCACTGGGCTCAGGGGTTCTCAGAGCCAAGGCTTCTCGGGCGGGAACGACAGCGTCACACTCTCCACGTTCCTTACCCCTTTGATGATATGCTGGGGGGGCATCCTCACCACCACCCGGAGAGTCACCTCCTCCTTTGGACCACAGGTGCTGATACCATCCATGGGGGACAGGTCTGGAGGTGGGGAACAGGAATGCTGGTTTGAGGGGGGCACCCCAGACTATCCTACACCTTCCTGCCACTCCCCTTTCCATAAAGTCTTTGTCTACCCCAAAGAAGTACCAGGAGCCCAAGCCCAAACAGTGATTAGGGTTTTAGGACCACAGCAATCCTCGGTGTCTCAGGACTCTGGCGTCGGCTTGCAGCAGCACTGGTACCCAGGAAGCCGCACCAGAATGAGGGGTGAACCCTATCCTTCTTTTCACCGGCCCAGGGCCTTCCCCCCATCAGGTACCTGTGTCTGCGAGGCTTGGGCTGAAGGGATGGGTGAGCGCCAGGCCCAAAGACCGACGAGGGGAGGTTAGAGCCGACGATCCCGGGATCTGCCCAGGAGCGGAGCCCGCCGAGGGGCCCGGGGCCACTTTCAGCCGGTCTGCCCAGGACTGACCTGCATGTTGTGCATGGTCTCCCGCAGCTGGTCCAGCTGGTGGGCCGAGTTGAGGGCTTCCAGGCGGATGTCTGTGAGCTTCATCTCCTTCTCCCACAGCTCTGAGCGCAGCTCGGACACCTCCTTCTTCTCCGGCTCCTCCTCCTCGCTTCCATGGAACAGCCGAACATGGGGGGCCGGGGGAGCGGGGCCCCTGGAAGGAGGTGGTGAGCACCGGGCGTTAGACCCTGAGCCCACGGGTGGCCGTCACTGGTCCAGTGGCCTGGGGAGGGGGCTACAGTGGGGGGCGTCCTGGGAACACATACTCGGGGGCGTCGGTGCCTGTAGAAGACGAGGTGGAGGACTTGATGGAGGGTGAGGCAGTCTCGGTGGATGCGTGCTGCAGTTTGGGGGACGAGGGGGCAGAGGAGTCGGGCGTGGCGATCTCCTCGATGTCAGAATAGGAGGAGGCTGACTTGGGCCCCTTCTTTATACTGAAGGCTTTGTTGAAGGAACTTCGGAGCTAAAACAAAACAGATTCGGGAGAGAGGGGTGAGGCAAGGACCTGAAGATGGGGAGGCGGGAGGGGGCGTCTGAGACACAGGCCAGAGCAAGGGGTGTGCAGCAGTGAGCACACCCTCATGAAGGCTTCTCTGGCTTTGTGGAATGGGGGTGGGAGACTTGCCTAGGAACTCAGGTTGAGTGATAGTAGGACTTGCTGCTGCACTGTGGTAACGTCCTGGGTTTTCTCTTCCCCTTGGGGGCACCCCGCTGTGAAGGGACGGAGGGGACCCCTGGGGCACAGGGTACCTCCTGGTGACCCCATCCTGATTTTTCCAGCAGACCAGCAATTGCTCAGCCTGCAGCCTGGCTCATTTGGGCCTCAGGACCCACCTCTGAGCTGGGCTTATCAGATCAGAGCCTACCCAGCAGACACAGACATGATTCCATGAATCAAAAGACGGGAGTGAACCAAGCTCCTTTTACGCACTCAGCACATTGCAGGATACAGATGCTTTCGACTATGTCCACTCAAGTGTGCCAGAATAAGGGATACTTCCCAGCATTTCCTCCAAGTATGCAGGAGGAACTGGCTTGGTCTTGGGTACTGATGAGCTGGGTGTTAGGGATGCGGGAGGCAAACCAGGGATCTGTCCCACACCCGTCACATGCATCCATTCAGCATGCACACACACGCAGGGACATGGAGATGGAGCTGCAGCCGGAGACAGAAAGTAAGGAGGGTCAAAGCAAACCAGATCGCTGGAACAGCAAGAGAGCAGAGTGCAAATCTGAGGACACTCTTTCCAGGTGTGTCTCTCGGGGCTTGGGAAAGCTGTGGGTGGTAGCTGGCGCAGCAGGGGTGTGTCGGGGTCTCTACCAGGCAGGACATAAGGAAAACCCATCTGGCTCGATGGGGGTGTGAGGGAGGGAGTGTGTGTGCAGAGTTGTGCCCTCTCTGGGTAGTCAGGGTACAGTGTCAGGAGCAAAGTTCTCTGCAGCGACAGAGACCTGGGAGTAGAACACGAGCTTCCTGATTTTTTGTCTGTAACCCCTGCGTCTCAGGAGACCATGACTGTGTGTGCATGTGTGAATTGTATGTGTGTGCACAAGTGTGCATGTGGATGCAGGAACAGGTCCTGTGACCCACATCTGCAGGGGGCCACCCCCCTCCCCAAGGTCATAGAGATCCTAAGTGGGAACAGTGCTCTGTGTGGGTCTGTGTTTCCAACCCAGAACTGCTGGGCAGAGGGACTGTGCAGTGTGATGTGGTAAGGGATGCTGGGGTCAAACGATGGAGCAAAACAAACCCGGACTCTGTCCTGAGGGACATCTCAGGATGTCTCCAATGAGGCCGAGTGTGTAGAAGGCAGCACTCCTCAGATCTCAGATCTGAGTGTCTCGAGGGGCTGGTGTGAAACTCGGGGCAATGCCAAGCTATGACTCAGGTTTCAGTAATCACCCTGCATTCGGCTCTTTCCTCCCCATGGCTCTCGGACAGGCTCTAGGGGACAGAACCTCTCTCTGGACCTCCCCCTTCTGACCGGGGTCTTCAGGAAGCACCGCTCTCTGTTCACCAAGATCTCACCTCGATTCCGCCTCCAGTGGGCTTCTGACCCCCTGTGACACTTTGCCTGAGGCCTCCTGAGACAAGCCATCTATGAACTCCCAGAGCCTCACTCACTGAATTGATAAGCATTCTGACACCAATGGATTGTCATCAGTCTTATAAAGACTATTTCTGTCTCCCTAGCAATTTTGCAGGCTCTTTGAGATCACAGACTCCATGTTTCCTGTCCTAATGACACCAAGCCAATGTTGGCATAGGGTTTGAGTGGACCTTATGTGCCTGGTTTGTCAGGGTTTGCTGTTTATTTTAGACGTTTATACCCTAAGCCCTGAAATCCCTTTGTCAGCCCCACGGCTGCTCAGAGGGCTTCAGGCTTGGGGGTGATCTGAGGTCCCACCCCTCACCTCTCTCTGGTTCATCTCGCTCCAGAGCTAAATCTTCAGGCCACACCCCAAACTGACCTGGCCTCTGGCAATTGTGGTCAAGGTAACGCTCACTCCCTTAGAGCCTTCTGTCTGGGGTGTCTAGGGTTTGACAGAGCGAGGGACCAGGGCTCACTGTCCCAGCAGGAGGAGCTGTTTGGCTGCTTTTGTAGCAGGTGGACTTTGGCACCAGGGGAGCCAGGAGGGGGCGGAGTCCTTCCACTGCCCCAGCCAGACCGCTCCTCTGTCCTCCAGGGGCGGCTGTGGATCAACATGCAGGGAGGGTTAGGGGCTTGGAGGAGGTGGTCACGGTTAGTTTCATGAGTGGTTGTCTCTGTTTAGGGGGAAGGGGTTGCTCTGGAGAAGGGGAGGGTATGGCAGAGGCAAAGAGGAAGGGGGAGAAATGAGTGTCTTACCTCGTAGACCTGGAAAAAAATAGGGATTTTAAGTCAGCATTTTGAAGGAAAAAAAAAAAAAAAGAAGCAACACTTAATCACTCATTTCACACAGCGGGTCTGTACGGACTACACCACGCTCTGTGCGCAGGCTCACTGGGTGGGGGCCAGTGGGTGGGTGTGCCCCTGGGGCTCCCCTCCTCCACACGGGCAGCGGGGGGCATGGCGATGTCGGAAACGGCACCCCAATCAGCTTAGGGTTATCTGGGAGACACGAACAGCTAGAATATCTCTCTCTGGACCAGTCAGGCGGTACAACAGTTCCTTTTGGAGTGATCTGGCAAGTTCCATGAGTACCTCTCCAGGAGCATCTCAGTGAGTGGCTCTGTCCATAACATCTCTCCACAGGATGGGAGGGGTGGGCACAGGTAGGCTGGTCCCTCTGAGGACCTCCTTCTGCTGCTGCCCACCAGACGTGTGCAGGGCTGGAGGGGGCGGCTGGCAGGGGGCAGACCCTGCTCTGGGCGGACACCACCCGGGGCTCCCGTCAGACGGGACTCTAGCATGGTGAGCTCAGGGAGGTCGGCTCCTGTGCTGTGGTGGGGTGGCCCCCCAGCCCACACAGCTCCCCCCACACCTTCACCCACCCAGCTCTTCTTCTTCTTCTTCTTGGCGTCGGCCTCCTTGCCGCTGCTGATGCTGGAGTGGCTGGTGATGCTGTTGAGGCTCGAGATGCTGTCAGAGGAGTTCTGCCTCTTGATCCGGAGCTCTGGGGGCCAAGCACAGGGGTGGACACAGACACCGGGGCTTTAAGGTGATGCTGTGAGGCTGGAGACAGGGCGTGCTGCAGGAGGAAGGGGAGGAGGCGCCCACCTCATCCACATCCTTCATTTGTGGGGAGCATCCTTGCCACAAGCCTTTGCTGGGTGCCAATCATATTTCAACATAAACAAATAAACAAGTAGGAAATGATCCCTGTTCTCAAGAAGCTGCAGTCTAGCAGGAGAAAGACCAGTGCAGAAACCAGTGACCTCGGCTTGAGCAGCAGGGATGAGGGGCAGCCCAGGCCTCTGCCATCCCACATGCACTGGCTGCCGCCCTCAGGACTCGCTTCAGAAATACTGGGGGGCGGGGGGTGGGCAGCCCAAGGCCAAGGGCCTTGCATTTAACCCAAACGACCTTTAATTTCCCTTTTAATCTGATGGGCAGAATATCTCTTCAGCTCTTGGAAAAGTTCTGTAATGGCACCAAAATGACCTCCTTTCCTACTTCAGGGAAGGAAAGGGTTAATAAAGGAGGCGGCCTTTGAGTGCTGACACAACAGAAGCTCTTCAGGTGGGACGTGGAAAAGCCCAGGCAGAGGCTGTGCAGGGAGCCTGGGCTTTGGGGGGCGGGGCAGCGAGGGAGTGGGGCCAGGCTGGGTGGGGCGAGTCCCGGGTGCCCCTCACAGGATGGTGCCTTGTGCCACAGGTAAGAGGCAGCGGAGCTTAAGCAGAGGCACCAGACGTCAGACTTTTTCATAGGCTCCTCCGGTGGTCTGGCGGCGGGTGGGCTCTCCCCAGCTACGGTCTTTAGTAGCAGAGGCTTCTCACTGTGGTGGCTGCTCTTGTTGCCGAGGAATGGCTTAGTTGCCCTGGGGCATGTGGGATCTTCCCGGGCCTGGGATGGAACCCACATCCCCTGCATTGGCAGGTGGGTTCTTACCCACTGAACCACCACGGAAGTCCGAAGATTGGGTTTTTAAAACCTTATTTTGGAATCATTACAGATTCACAGGAAACTGGGGACACATGGGCGGGAGGCCCTGTGTGCACCGTGGGCTGGTGGGCCTTCACTGTAAAGGCCAGAGAGTAAATATTTCAGGCTTTGTGGTCATTTGAGCTCTCTTACAACTGCTCAGCAGTGCCATGTGGCATTAGAACCACCACAGATGATATGTACCTTAGTGAGTATGGCTGCGTGCCAGTAAAACTTTATTTAAAAGCAGGTGGTGAGCCAGATTTGGCCAAGGAACGATGGCCTGCCAACCCGTAGTTTGCATCTTCCTCCAGAACACGTATTGCTTTTGTGATCAATTTAATTTACAATTAGTGAATTACAAAATAAAATGAAAGGCAGCAAAATAACTGTCTGTCACGATACTTGGAGATCCAATTAGTTGTGAGCCTATCAACAAGAATTTTAAAAAGTTAGGAAATCTTTTGTGCCTTTAAAATTTTGTGCCATGTGCATGTATTACCTATCTACAAATCAAATAAAATTAGGCATTATTGCTTTAAGCATTAGTTCTTTGAAGGCTCCTAGACATCCTGACCAAGCTGGACCTGGGTCAACAAGAAGGAGGACCACATGAAAGCAATCCATCCCACACAAGTGTATCCGAAGAGTCAGGTTACCCAGGAAACTAGAAATAGCTCAGTGTCCCAGACCTGTCACTGAGGAGCCATGTTTGAGCCAGCTACCTGTCTTCTCTGGCCTTACTCTGAACTACAGAGTACACTTTGTAGGGCTGCTGTCTGGAACAGATGGGCTAATGTAAGCACAGCGATCAGAGCGGGGCCTGGCATCCTGCAGATGCTCCTAAAGGCTGGCTGTGTCTGTGACCAAGTCGGGCAGAGAAGACAGGAGAAGCGATGGGAGACGTGGACGCATCCTACACCAGCAAGAGGCGGTGCTCCTCTTGCTGACGGTTGAATACATTCTCTTTCCTTCTCACTCGCTTTTCTGAAATGTTTCAAACTCACAGAAACACTTAAAACCAAGGCTGACTTCTCACTTGAGCCCTGAGATCCATGTAATCTCTGTCTCACTTGAAGGGTAGCTTCTTTCCCGTCAAAGAACTGAAGTGAGGATCAAACAGGGTCACACACATATCTGTGCAAGCACACACATTGTCAAAATGGAAAGTGCTAGCTCTTCAGAGCAGCTTTAGGTTTCCAGCAAGATTGAGAAGGTACTGAGGTGCCTCACCCACCCCCTGCCCCTACGTGCAGGGCCCCCCGATCGGCACCCCCACCGGATGCTACATCTGCTGCAGTCAATGCAGCCGCCCTGACATGCCAGCAGCCCCCAGGGCCCATGGCCTACACTGGGGTTCACTCAGTGCCACATCCTGGGGGTTTAGACAGGCGGATAAGGACTTGTACCCCCATCACCATGTCCTCCAGAGTGCTGTCACGGCCCTACAGGTCCTGTCCCCCAGCCTGGCCACCTCCACTTCCCGCCCCACCCGACAGCCACAATCCTCTCACTGCCCCGAGTCTCGTCTTTCCCACAATGACCCATAGTTGACATCATAGAACACACGGTCTTTCCTGATGGGCTCTGCTGCTGAGTAACAGACATTTCGCACGTCACCGTTGTCGTGCGGCTAGATCGCTCATCTCTTTACAGTGCTGGGTGGTGGCTCACTGTCTGGCTACAGCTCCGTTTCCTCACACAGCTGTCCATGCGGGACAGTGGGGCTGCGTCTGAGTTTTGGTGACTGTGAATAAAGCTGCCATAAACATCCACGCTTAGGTTTTTGTGGGGACATCATATTTCTGCTCCTTTGGGGAAATTCCAAGGAAAGTGACTGCTGGGCTGCACAGCAGGGGTATCTTGAGTTTGAAAATTAAAGTGCTATTTTAGCAACTGTCTGTGACAGTCATTTGAGGCCCAAGGATAGGCTCCCTGGTCTCCCTCAGTCCCTTGGGTGGTGGGGTCATGCCCCTACCACTCCTCGCTGACCGTCAGAGGACCCTCGCCTTCTAGAAGTTGCCTGGCACATATCGGGCACAGAGAAGTCCTGCGGTAAGTTTCCTTCCAGCCCAGCCCTGCCACTGGCCAAAGGACCTACCTTTGGGTGTGGCCTCTGAGGCATTGAGGGCCCCTTGAATGACAGCCTGCGCCTCAGAGTTCTTCTTCTTCAGGAAGTCTATGGTTTCCCGCAAGTCCAGCAGCTCCGTGTCCTAGGGAGAAACGGGAGTGGCGTCAGGTGGGCCCGGGCTGCCGGAGGGGCGGGGCCCAGGGCGGCCGGGGGCGGGGCCCGGGGCCACCGGAGGGGCGGGGCTGGCCTCACCTTCTCCTCGGCGGTCTCGGCCAGGTGCCGCAGGCGGCAGGTCATGCTCACCAGGCTCTGCTCGAAAGCCGCCACCAGGTTGGCCTGAAACAAATGGGCACGGGACGCCTCAGGTGCCGGGGTTTGGGGGGCCGGCTGAGCTGACTCTGGGGGTCTCAGGGATGACCATTGCCAACCACCCTCGTGGCAGCCCTTAAACCTTGCTTCCTACTCTGGCCTGAAGACATGCCTGGGGGGACAGACATCATCAGGGTGGGGCGGGTCTCTGGAGGCGTCACCTCTGGGGCCCTGGCTTTATCCGGTGTCACTCCTCGCCTGGAGCCCATCACCCGCCAGAACTGCCCGGGGCCTCTGCTCTCGGTTCTCCCGGCCTTTCCCCGACAGAGGCAGCGCCAGGGCCCGCGGGGCAATTCCGCAGTCTGGCCGCTAGGTGTCGGGGCTGCTCCACGGGCGCGAGGGGTCCCCACGAGGACTGCGGGGCAGGGAGGGGTGAGGGGCCCACAAGGCAGAGAAGAGGGGGTCAGGCGGGGAGGGCAGAGTTCCAGCTCTGCCAGCTGGGGGGCAGGAGAGCGGGGAAGTGGGGGCTGAGGCTGCGACCAGAGAGGGCAGGCTCATGGAGGAGAGGGCCAGCCTTGGGGGGCGTCTAAGCCAACTATGACCCGGCTGGGGTAGGGGGGACGCCCCTCGCAGAGCTCTGGGGCCTGCTACCCCTGCTTCCTGTCGCGTCGTCTGCCTCCCTGGGAGTCAACCCTACGGTTCGTCCCTGCCCTCAACACGTCTGGAGGCCTCTCCCATCCAGGGAGCAGTTCCCTCCACGTGCTGGACTCTTGCCTTCCTGGCCTCAGGGCCCCTCTTGCTCATCTGTGGACACGGGTCCCCTCGTGAGAGGCCTTCAGACCCCGGCTCCTGGGGACCATCCCAGCCTCTTCGGTCTGGGGCTCCCGCTCCTTGAGGGCACCGTCGCCTGCCTCCACATTGTCCCCACCCACTAGGCGGCCCAGATGCCCTTGGCCAGGGTTCAGCTGGGGGCCGGGAGAAAGGCTGGTGAGTGGGAGGGGAGGGTGTCCAGGCTGCGCCCAGCGTGGGTAGCTGCGGAGGCCCAGGAACAGGGCCCAAGTTCTGGAATTGGGACCCAGGGGACCTTCCAGAGCGCTGGCATCGCGGCTCCCACTGAGGGCAGGGCTCCAACCCTTGGGGCCAGGCCGCCTCCGATCCCCAGGAGAGGGAGCTCTCTCTCAGCCAGGGGCACGTCCTGCTCTGAGAGTTGCCCTCCATGGCCACTGTCTGGGCTCAGGCTCCCTGGGAGTGCAGCACTGATGGGGCACAGGGTCAGCGGGTCAGACGCGCTCCTGCTCTCCAACCCCAGACAGGGACTCCCGGGCTCTGCGGATGTGATGGCCTTGGCGGGCCTGGGGCGCGGGCGGCCAAATAGAGAGACGGGTCTTGTTTCTGTCACTATTCTGTGTCCCAAATGTGGGGAAAGGCCTGCCAGGAGCTGCACACAAGCTGGTGAGCAAACCCTGACCACTGAGAACCTGGGTAAGGGAAGGAAGGGACCCGGGTGTGGGCAGGACACGGCGGCCGGAACGTGCTGGGGACACCCGAACTTGCGGCGCAGAGTCTCGGTTCCATGAGAGACCCAGGCCAGACAGCTGGGCTCCCCCGGGAGGAAGGGGAGAGAAAAAACCAGCGGAAACTGCAGACACGGTCACTTTGTGCAAACACTTGGAAGGCTCCGTAGATCCGGCTCAGCTGTTGTTTACAGCTTTGGGGGAAAATGGCTCTTATGTTCTCTGTTTGCAGTTCGGCCGCTGGGGAGACACTGCCGCGGCCTTGCTCCGGGCGGCTTCGTTTCTCCCCATCGTGAGGGGTGGAAAAACCGAGGCCACGAGAGACTCACTCTAAGCGGGCGGACTCTGGCAGGCTGAGGGAAGGGATGAGAAGGCGGGTCCCCAGCGACGCTCACGTCCTGAAGCGTTGAGGCCACCGTGCCAGGGCCCAGGGCCGGCTCCTAAAGCTGGAGCTCTGGCGCCCAGCCCGGGGCGGTGCAGGACAGGGTGGGGACAGACAGGGCACGCCCCAGGGGTGCAGAGGGCTCCCGGGGGCGTCCGTTAGTTCTGACCCACGAGTAACCACCACTGTCCGAGCAAGGCTGCTTCCTCCTGCACACACAGCCACTGACACAATCCTTTCTTTCTCCAGCGAGTTTATAGGCGTCACACAGGCACTTGTCTATGCCCATGAATTAGGATGGGGGGGAAGTGGCTCTTTACAAACACGCAGACTTGGGGGAGGAGAAGCCAGCCCCCCGTCCTCTGTGCCCTTGTAACCAAGCCCAGGGGACACCCTGGGAGGCCTTCTCTTCGGATGGACTTGTCCAACTGGGGCCCAGACCGCTTCCCCCCGGGCCCGGCTCCAGGCACTCACGTTGGCTGAGAGCTGAGAGGTCAAGGTGGCTACTTTCTCCTGGGACGACTCCAGTTCCCGGCGAAGCTTTCGGATTTGCTGTGGAGGGAAATGCACAGTCACGGAGGCAGAAGGGGTGGGAGGTGTGGGAGGAGGGGTGCGGGGTGTCAGGAGGCAGAGGCAGAGGCTGGGGACCCTACCTCAGACTGCATCCTCTCCTCAGCCTGGAGAAGGAGCCCAGAAGCGGGGGAGAGAGAGGAGGCGGTTACACGGAGGAGGGAACGCACAGACGCGCAGCAGCGGGACGTGGGGCGCCAGGGGCCCTTGCGGGCTCAGACCCCAGGCCAGGGTTTAGTCTCCTGCTAAAGCCGCATCACCCAGGGGGCCGGGAGGGAGCTGGCCTGAAGACTGACCTTGTTTCCACCAACCGCAGGAAGGCCCGGCCCCGTCGGAGCTGCCGTCTCTGCATACCCCGAGGGTCCCGGGTGCCGGGGCTGCTCACCCGCCCTCCCTGGCACAGAACCCAAGACCAGGGCACCCTCCGCATTGCAGAGTTGCTCAGGGACTGGCGGTGAGGCCAGAAGGGCCCGCTGGGTGCCCTGACCTCCAGGGGCTCCCACCGAGCCCCCCGCCGCAGAGGGTCCAGGGTGCTTACTGAGGAGTACGTGGATGAGGCGCTGGAGGCCAAGGAGAGCACGGAGCCGTGAACTGCAAGAGAGGCAGAGCGCCAAGGGTTAGCAGAGGGCTCGTGGAGGCAGGAGGCGCCCGAGGCAGGAGCTCGGGCTCTGGTTCTGGCACCAAACACGGGGCCTGGCGGTCCGGCCCCGCCAAGGACTCCAGGAGCAGGCAGAGCCGCTCTGCCGGACACAGAGTCGCTGCACCAGAGCTGCTCAGAAGGGAAACACAATCCTGCCTGCGCCTCCTTTTCCCAGCGGGCACCTTGTGGATGAGAATCCCCCAAGTGCAAGACACGCATTGTGACTCTGCTCTCAGCGCGATGGCCCTACTGAGAGAACCGGATGGAGGCAGCTGCAGGAGCCCCAGGACAAGTGTCCTGAGGTCCTCAGGTCTCCCCCCCGAAAGCCCGAGTTCAGACCTGACCACACCCCAGAGCGCGGCCCCGAAGCTGGTCTTCGGAGTGCTCTGAAAAGAGGATGGAAAAGACTGATGCTCTGAAGGGCTAGAGCACCACCCGCGCGTCCCTACCAGCTCCGTGTGAGGAGGTCCTGTCCTCTGACGAGGGTGGGGGGCAGAGGGGACAGAGGCGCTGTATTCCAGGGGCGCTGTCCAAGCCATCCACGCTGCCGCCCTGCCCACCCCCAAAGGCCCTGGGCCCCCAGACCCTTCAAGGCATGGGAGGAAAGCGCGGAGATGGCCCGGGGGGATGTTCCGTGAGTCAGAGAGTGTGTGGGGCGGTGGTGGCCATGGAGGCGGGTGGGCGAGGGGATCAGCGGAGCCGGGATGAGCGTGCACCGCGCGGGTGTGAGGTCTCACCATCGTCCGCAGGGTCTCGGAAGGATCCTGACCGGATCATCCCCTTGGGTCTCTCGGCCAGGGACAGGGTGCTCCCCGTTTGGGAGCCGCCGTACAGCTCGAAGGCCGTCTCGTGGGCGGGGATGCTGTTGGAGCGGGTGATTCTTGGCGTGGTGGCCGCGGTGGGGCTCACTGGAAGGACAGAGCGGGTAGCAAGGCCTGGGGGGGCCCTGCATCTGAACCAAGGGTTCAGAGCACGGCCTGTGTGAAAGCCCTCCTGCCCTGGACACAAGGCTGCCGAAGGTCAGGCTGGGGGTCTGGCAGCTTTTCCAAAGCCTTCACCTCGCTCGGATGTGCCGATGAGAACGGGGCCCCGTGTTTCCCTAACACACAAGGGGTGGCCTGGGAGTTCAGAGCAAGACTCAGATCTGAGCGACGAGGCGAGTTAGTGAGAGGGGGACCCCCAGCAGGCACGCCGCTCTGGGTGGACCCGGGGACATGGTGGCGCCCGGCCTCAGTCTGGCCTGGGGGTCAGAGCCCCCAAGCACTTCGGGGGGCTGTGCAGCCTCGCTGGCCTGCAGTCCTGCCCCCGCAGCCCTGCCTCTCGGCCTGCACACCCTGGGGGGTCCAAGAAGACCCCGGCTCCCTCGGGGCCCCTCAGCCGTGAGGTGATCACAGCTTGGCCGGGCCCCTTGCTCTCCTATGTGGTCCCTGCCCTCCTGTTAAGGGCCCTGCGGGGGCCAGTTAACTGCTCCTCAGCCTGCTTCCCTCCTCTGGCAAGAGCCCCACCCCAGTCTGCTCAGAGGCCCGGTCGCCTGCAGGTGCGTCCCAGGACCTTGGGCTGGGCCAGCTGCCTTCCTGCAGAGGCTGGCGGAGGAGGAAGCCACAGGCCGGGCTGGGCGCTGTCCCTGAGGGCCCCCGGCTCCCAGGAGGCAGGGCCGCGACCCCTGCCTCTGCCCTGCCTGCCTCCAACCAGCCTCCCCACACCCGCTCTTGCAAGCTTTCCCTGGTTCTCAGAGTCCAGAAGCGTGTTGGCAGCACGGGCTCACTTGGCCCTGCCCCTGGGGCGAGCCCGGCCCTAGTGGGGGCAGACCCTCTGCACCAGGCCGGTACCCCACCGAGTCCCCCAGTAGCCTGGCGCTGAGGGTGGCACGGCGCGGGGGGCGGCCACCTTGGGGCTTGAGGCACCGGTTTCTGCTCGGGGCCGCAGTTTATGGCCTTTGCAACACTCTGACTATCTGATGCTGCACAGGTACACCCTGTGCCCCGGGGCCACCCCTCAGCCCCAGGTCGCGGCTCACGCGGCCCTCGGTCTCAGGCTGTGGGGGGTGAATGGAGGCTCCGTGACCCAGCCCGCACAGCGGGAACCCAGCGTGAGGCGGAACCCAAGGCCCGCCCACCCTGCCCCCGCGGCAGTCCTCGCAGGTACTGACCGATGTTGGTGAGCTGGCCCTTGGAGCTCAGGGACATGGACAGCGCAGGGGGCGACGGCAGCTCCGACTGGTCGTCTGACTCAGGCAGCCCTGCGACGGCGTGGGAGTGTCGCCGCTCCTTGGCCTCCTCCTGGGACGGCAGCTGGTACCTGCAGGCGGCAGGCGAGGCGTGGCTGGGCGTTCAGCACCGGGGCTCGGGGACGGGTGGCAGGAGTAGCTGAGCTGCCCGCGGGGGCAGCGAGAGCAGCACCCACCCCCCGGCAAGAGGGGCTGGCAGACCGGGGTGTTGCTGCAGGGCTCTGCAAGGCGGGGCCGAGACGACAGAGGCGCCAGGGCGCCGTCCCCGAGGCTCGGACACAGCCCGGGGGCTCCAGGCATGGACTGCAGGGCCTGCTGCTGTGGGCAGAGTGACCCGAGGCCCGGGCCAGCATGCGATCCCGCTGGAGACTCTCCCCCTGTCACCAGAGCAGCACCCGGCTCCCGGTGGCGCTCGGGCAGGGGTGAGCCTGGGAGTGGGCCCTGGAGGAGGCGGGGGACGGCACGTACGGTCGGGGCCGGGGCAAGCACAGCGGCTCACTCAGGCCAGGAGCCCCACGGGCAGGAAAGAAAACACACGTGAGCGTTACCTGAGCCCCTTCTTGGGGAGAGTGTTCCGATCCCGCTGATTACTGCAGAGGAAGAAAGAAGCACGTGGGTTCAGGGTTCGGGACCAGAGACTCGACGGGGACCTGGGCATCACTGTGAGCCCCTCGGCTCCACAAGCAAAGGGGAGGACGGCCCTGGCACCCCTCACAGTCTGAGAAATAGTTCGGAGATGCTCCGTGTTTTTCCCCGATTAGCTTTTCTTTTTTGACCAGGGATTGAACCCACGCTCTCGGCAGTGAAAGCGTGGAGTGTAACCACTGGACCAGCAGGGAATTCCCTCTGACTTGCTTTTCAGAGATCGCATTAGGGGGATATCCCTGGCGGTCCGGGGGTTCTCCGTGCTCCTAGTGCAGGGAGCTCAGGTTCAGTTCCTAACCAGGGGACCGAGGGCCTGCCTGCCGCATAGCGTGGCCAACGTAAGTAAATAAATGCGAATAACTGTTCTCATGAGATGATGCGATGCAAGACGGAAAGCAGCATGTGACATTACAGGAGTGATCTGGGGCCAGTAAGAAGCAGCTTCGGCTGGCAGGTTAAACCCGCCAGGAGGTCCTGGAGAAGTCCGCCAGCATCTATGGACTGGCTTCCCACGCAGGAGGTGAGAATTGGGATCAAAACACAGAAACGAAAGCCTGTTCATCCACAGCGCAAGGAGCAGACACGCTTAATCACACAGACACTGAAGGTCACAGAGCGGGAAGCAGACGTGGCCGCCTACCTGTCCAGCTGCCCGGCCCTGGGGCTTCCGCTCCAGGCCAGCTCCTCGGCGTCCTCCGCGGCGGGGGCGGTGGGGGGAGCGGGACTGCCGGGGGCGGGGGCGCCGCTGGGGAAGGCGCCGGGTAGGCTCATGGGCATCTGTAGGGACTCCATGCTCCGGTGCAGCCCCGAGAGCTTGGGGTACATGCGGGGCTCCTTGGGGACGCCGAAGCCACTCATGAGCTCCAGGCCCTGCGAGAAGCTGGCCGAGTTGATGTTGAGGATGGGGGCCGGGCTGGGGGTGAAGCAGGAGGTGAGGGGGCCCCCGGCAGCCGGGCCCGGAGCGTGCAGGTCTGTGGCCTTGGGTGCGTGGGAGTCGCCAGACGCCGGCAGGTCCAGGCTATTGGAGTTGACCTTGTCGAGGTTGGCGAGGGACGGCGGCTTGACGAAGCTCTTGGCCGCGGCCCTGGAGAAGCGAGGGCAAGACAGGCGTTTGGGCTCCAGGGATAGGGCGGCGACGGGCAGCTGGGACCTGGGCCAAATCCTCGTCCTCTCCGGCACTCCAGGGCTCTGAGCGCCCCTGAGACTGGGGAAGACCCCTGACTGGGTGGGTTGGCGCAGGCCTTGGCGGGCGGGGTGGGCACACATACGCGGGACGTACCTGAGCGGGGTAGGGGGCAGCTCCGCCAGCTTGGGGGCCGGGGCGTGGCCCGCCTGGCTCCGGGGTGTGCTCTCAGGGGAGCTGACACTCTTCAGGGACAGGCCGTCAGGGCCCAGCGCCTCGGCCTTGGCCTTGGCCTTCTCCTTCTCCCGATCCGTCTGGTTGACGGGGGCCGGGGTGGCCCGCCCGCCGGCCACCTTGGAGGGCTCCTTCAGCCTGGAGGGTGCCAGGCCCGCCGGCTTGCTGCTGAGGAGGCTGGGGTCAATGCTGCTGCTCACGGGCCGGGGGCCACTGCGCCCGCCGGTCACGCTCATGGAGCTGGACTTGGCTGGCCGCGGCAGGCTGCGGTACTGGATGTTGGAGCGGGCGCCGGGGGCCAGGAACCCGGGCTCCACGCTGTTGGACACGTCCAGGCTTGTCTTGCGCCCGTTCGCTGGCTTCACGGGGATGCCCGAGGACTTCTGGGCCTTGCCGAGCGTGGCCGAGGTCCCGGTCTGCACGACGGTGGCCGTGCCCGTGGCAGGAGGGGGCTTCTTGTAGCCGAAGGACCCTGATGTGGACGGGCGTGCGATGCCTGAGGGAGGCTTCTTGGCGTCGCCCAGGCGGTCGCGGCCGGCGTCTGAGGAGGAGCGCTGCAGGCCCACGCTCTTCACGGCCAGCTTCGCCTTGTCGGCGGCCTTGCCTTCGGGTTTGCCTGTGGAGGGTGGGCACTGTCAGCAGCAGGAGAGCCAGCGTCTCCCCACCCCGGGAGGAGGGGCACCATGGGGTGTTGGGCCTAACTGCGGGCGATCGGGACCCATGGGCTGAGGACCGTTCTGTGCAGGCCTCGCATCCAGCTGTTCAATTTCTCTTGTTTTTTGGTGTTTTCTGCTCCCAGGCTAGGAGGTCCCAGTTTGGTTGAAATCACAAGATGATCAAGAAGGGCACACGTCTAACAACAGGTCACCAAGGGCCTGCCCCATGAGCAGCACCTCTCTGATAGTGCCAGAATCTCCCGGGATGGCACACGGGGCCCCGGGAGGTGTGAGGATATCACCCAAGATCCCAGGAGAGGAACAGAATCACTGGGCAGTGTGGGAGGCGGGTCAGACCAGGCTCCCTCCTGCCCTACATCTGGGCTCAGCCTTCTAAGCATGTGGAGCCCCTGTGCCCGCGTCTGCCCGTCTTCCCTGACTCAGGACAGTCTGGAGCCCTGCCAAGTGACGTGTGGGAGCTGCATGCAGGCTGGTCACCACTGCCCCCAAGGAGTTACCGGTCGAGAGGACCAGGAGCCAGCAGGGAAGCAGGCCGCGGCCCTGGGACCTGCCCCCTGGGCTCACCTGCCACCTTGAGGGCGCTCTGGGCCATGTGGGTGATGGGCGAGGTGACAGCCACGGGCGGGGTCTTGCCCTTCTTCAGGGGCCCGGGCGGGCCCAGGCCTGCCGGCTTCTTCAGCTCCCCGGCCTTGGACGCGTCGTCGCAGCTCTCGGGCCGCTCCCGCCGCCACTTGGATCCCGCAGTCTCCATCTTCAGGCTGCCGCTGTCGTACTCCAGCTTGCGGGGGGCCTTCTCCTCCGACTCACTGAACCAGCTCAGCCCGCTCTCCGCCAGTGAGCGCTTCTCTGAGTCTGTGCGCAGCTGGAGGCAAGAGAGGGCGGGGTGGATGCTCAGCGGGACAGGGAGGGCAGGGCCAGAGGGCAAACGGGGGCCATGGAGGGCCCTCCTCTCCAGGGGACTCAGAGACCCAGGCTTTCGCCTGCATCCCAGGCTGCTGGAGATGAGAGCGCACGCACGCCAAGCTTCTCCTCTCCAGGTGGGACAGCGCTCACAGGAATCCTCCAAACGGGCGTGGGCACCAAACAGACCTGCCCCCAGGACAGGTCACACCCTAGGTGTTCCTTCCCACCAGCTCGAAGACTCGATTCCGTGCATGTGGGGACCAATCCCATGGATTGGTACATGCACACAGTGTACACGCCACCCCACGTGCAGGGCACACACCACCCTGCACACAGCTGCGGCTGGGTCTGCCCGTGGTTGGCCTCGAGAAGGGGGCCCTATGTCTGTACCCGCACCTACCACTATTGTCGAGTTTCTGCGAGACGCCGTGGGCGTTGTGGGCAGGGAGTTGAGTGAGGAGCTGGCATTGAACTCTTCGGAGCTGAGGTTGTCGGAGGCATCACTGAGCCCACTGCTGATGGAGCTGCTCTCATCCCAGCTGTGGGTGGGGGAGAAAGGTGAGCAGTCAGGACAGAAGCCAGGGCGAGAACTGAAGTTCCCTCACGAGGGAGAGGACGGCTGCGCTCCACCATACGGACAGGCCAAGAGCAGAGAGTCGGGGGCTGGTTAACCCTAGATTTGGTGGCAGAGCAAAGCTTGATTTAAACTTGCTTGTATTAAACACCTGGTGATGTTCTTTTATAAAAGGGAGGGACTAGCTTTATTTGTTCATTTCAAAGGCAAAACAATCAACATCAACCAGTATCACAGTAATCCAAGTCTATGCCCCAACCAGTTATGCTGAAGAAGCTGAAGTTGAATGGTTCTATGAAGACCTATAAGACCTTATAGAACTAACACCCAAAAAAGATGTCCTTTTCATTATAGGGCACTGAAATGCAAAAGTAGGAAGTCAAGAGATATCTGGAGGAGTAACAGGCAAGTTTGGCCTTGGGAGTACAAAATGAAGCAGGTCAAAGGCTAACAAAGTTATGTCCAGAGAACGCACTGATCATAGCAAACACCCTCTTCCAACAACACAAGAGAAGACTACACAGTGGCATCACCAGATGGTCACTACCAAAATCAGATTGATTATATTCTTTGCAGCCAAAGATGGAGAAGCTCTATACAGTCAGCAGAAACAAGACCAGGAGCTGACTGTGGCTCAGATCATGAGCTCCTTATTGCCAAATTCAGACTCAAATGAAAGAAAGTAGAGAAAACCACTAGGTCATTCAGGTATGACCTAAATCAAATCCCTTATGATTATACAGTGGGAGTGACAAATAGATTCAAGGGATTCGATCTGATAGACAGAGTGTCTGAAGAACTATGGATGGAGGCTCGTGACACTATACAGGAGGCAGTGATTATCCCCAAGAAAAAGAAATGCAAACAAGCAAAATGCTTCTCTGAGGAGGCCTTACAAATAGCTGAGAAAATAAAAGATGCGAAAGGCAAAGGAGAAAAGAAAAGACATACCCATTTGAATGCAGAGTTCTGAAGAAGAACAAGGAGAGATAAAGCCTTCCTCAGTGTCAATGCAAAGAAATAGAGGACAACAATAGAATGGGAAAGACTAAGATATCTCTTCAAGAAAATTAGAGATACCAAGGGAACATTTCATGCAAAGATGGGCTCAATAAAGGACAGAAATGGTATGGACCTAACAGAAGCAGAAGATATTAAGAGGTGGCAAGAACACATAGAACTATACAAAAAGATCTTCACGACCCAGATAATCANAGCAGAGACATTACTTTGTCAACAAAGGTCCGTCTAGTCAAAACTATGGTTTTTCTAGTAGTCATGTATGGATGTGAGAGTTGGACTATAAAGAAAGCTGAACGCCAAAGAATTGATGCTTTTGAACTGTGGTGTTGGAGAAGACTCTGACAGTCCCTTGGACTGCAAGGAGATCCAACCAGTCCATCCTAAAGGAAATCAGTCCTGATTATTCATTGGAAGGACTGATGCTGAAGCTGAAACTCCAATACTTTGGCCATCTGGTGGGAAAAGCTAACTCACTGGAAGAGATCCTGATGCTGGGAAAGATTGAATGCAGGAGGAGATGGGGATGACAAGAGGATGAGATGGTTTGATGGCATCACCGACTCGATGGGCATGAGTCTGAGCAAGCTCTGGGAGTTGGTGATGGACAGGGAAGCCTGGCATGCTGCAGTCCATGGGGTTGCAAAGAGTCGGACACGACTGAGCGACTGAACTGAATCGAGCTTCATCTGGCCAAGGAGGATGTTCTATCTGCTTAGCAGAACAGTATATTATAAAGACAAGGCAATTCTTGGATTGACCTAACCGTACAGACCTATGTCCCCTCCAATCCTAAAATCACCATATCTTTACTTTTAGATGTGTTCTTTTAGGCATTTCGTCTCCCTTTTCTAAAATTCTCTATACCTGGTAACTAGGGTGGAAGAAGACTGATCTTTTCAGAGTGGCTTAGATCCATCACTTCTCATGCCTCTGTCTTTACAGGGTTCACCCCGTCGTGAGACCAGTTCCCGTTTCTCAACAGCAAGCCCTGCTCCTCTGATGACAGCGCCCCACTCTGGGTGCGGTGGCCAAGCGCAGGGACCGCACATGCTCAGAGGTCTCCTTTTCCTGCTAGCTGCTCAGAGCAACTGATGGCTGTCACCATCTGCCCGAGCATCTTTCTGTCGGAACCTGGTCCACACTCCCAGGGAGCCGGACCCAGCCTCAGCCACTATCCGCAGTGCCTTGGCTATTGATTTCTGTTTGACAAGTTTCACCGTCAGAAGGTTTACTTCTAACATCTGAAAGAAATGCCTCCTCCCCCATTCACACCAGACTCCTCCTGTATCATCTGAGCTTGCTACCAAAGGTGTCTCTGGGTTCACACATTATTTTCAAAGCTCAGATTCCACCTTCTACAACCTTTCTTCAAATGTCCTGTTCCCCACGCCTTCCCGCATTTCTATTTCTTCCTTCTGGACCCTAAAGAGTTCTCCAGGTTCCTGTGAAATCTGAAGTTCCAGTTTCAGGGAGCCTCAAACTGAACATGGACCTCTAGCGAGACTGCAGTGCATGAACCCGTGTCTGTGGGAACCTCTAAACCCTCATTTATCAGCTTCACATGTGTGCTGAAGAGGCTGAAGATGTTTTCCATGAATCTGCTGGTTTCTGGAACACTGTTCCCTTTTGATTTATTTTGAGTTTCATCTCATGGAACAAAAATCAGACACTCAAGGCATCTAAGGGCTTGGCCCAGACTTAGGCCAGTCTCCCTGTGATTTATTTGCTGGGAAGAGGAAAGTGGGTGGTTTGGATGTTTGGCTTGTTGTTCTTCAGGGATTAATCCAAACACAGTGAGAAAGCGAAGAGCAAGGGATTGGACCACACCACAGAGCAAGCTCGACTTCATTACTAGGAATCACGGCCATCACTAAATGGCCATCCGACTCTCCCCCCCCGAGTGGTGACGTATATTAAATCTCACACCTGTCCTGGGCTAAGGTTGTCCTCCCCCTCATTTTGAAGAGAAGAGACACTGAGGGGGAAAGATCAATATGGTTGTAACGTCCCATCGGCTCTCGTGGGTCAAGACGGGCTCTCTGCAAGTACACACACACAATTCCCAGAGCGTTCTCTCAGGTCAAAGACAAGAGAAGTCTGTCCTTCCACTGAACCTTCCACCGAGATTAACTGGTGGTCATCGAGGCCTCACAGCAGAGAAAACTCTCAGGGGCAATGAGGACTTTGCAGTCCACCAACCCCAAGAAACCTGTCCTTTGCTCAGTGTTGACGGAAAGACTAAGGCTGAGATGGGGGAGGGGGACCATGCTCCTCTTGGCTCCAAAGATGTCCCCTCCCGAGTCACAGACCCTCCTCCGGTCGTGAGGAAGCATAAGCCTAACTGCTGGGAAGGTTGGCTGGATGACCGGAAGCCTTCCTGGAGAAATTGCTTTGTAGGTGCTGAACAAAAGGAAAATTCTGTGTTCATGACTGAAGGGGTAAGCATCTCCAGTGGAGAAACTAGACAAGTATTATATGCTATAGGCAAGGATCGAATATTATGTAACACTATACAGGGAGAGGACAAACGCCCCTTATCTGCGGTGACTGCAGGAACGGCTTCGTGCCCCCTGAAGTGCACCCCGCACGGCCCCCGCCTGCCCCCCGGCTGGGGTNCCTGAAGTGCACCCCGCACGGCCCCCGCCTGCCCCCCGCCACCCCAGCCACAGGCTCTGTCTGCCTGCTCTCAGGCGGAACCTTGGCCCCTGCGTCGGTTCACTCTCGTGTTTCAGTGGAGTGCCTCTTGCAGTAGATTCCTGGAAAAGCGTCCTCGGAAAGCAGACTTCATAAGATCTAACACATTACAAAGTGTTGTTTTTCTATTTCACATGTGAGGTTTTAGCTGGACGTTGAATTCCTAGCTGAAGATAATGTCCTCTCCAACCATGAGGGCCTGGCTCCTTGGCCCAGCCTCTGCCGCTGCCGTTGTGACTCCCAGTCCTTAAGGTTTCGGTGGGTCTCCTCTCTGGGATCTCTCAGCACCTCCCCTGGTGTTCCGAGGCATCGCGGACGACGTGGCTGGTGAGGCCTGTGTATGCATGAGCTGGTGCCCCCCTGGCCCCTGACACCTAGACACTCATGCCCTCAGCCCTGGGAAACTTTCTCCAGTTATTCCCCCCCTGGGCCCCTGACACCTAGATGCTCACGCCCTCAGCCCTGAGAACTCTCTCCAGTTACTCCTTTCACGGTTTCTTCCACTTTCCAGCTCTCTCTCTAGACTGTTACTCAGATGATAGTCTAAGGTTGAGATTTTGATTTTCTCTTATTTTCCATCAACACACACACACACACACACACACACACACACACACACACATGTATTTTAAACTCTACTCTTTGGGCAGTGGCCCTAGTTTTATCTCCATTGCCTCCTTTAAGATCTCCATTTCTGCTATCAATACGTTTCCATTTTATACAACAGCATTATCGGTCTTTCTCTCAAGGACGCAACCTCTTCTCTTAACTCTCAGAGACGCTCACTCACTTGTCTGTCTGGAGGGGCAGGTCCACAAGCTTTCTGCCTAGTTCCTGGCTCCAAGTTACTTTGTTCTGTCTGTACTGGGGAGACTTCTGGGAGTGCTGACAATCCATAGCTGACGCTCACCTGTAAGCCTGGGCCCCTCACCCTGAGGTCTTTGGAAGCTCTGTGTTCACAGGGAGGACCTGTCAACTGTTTCCACTGTTCCCGCATCTATTTGCCATGAAGTGATGGGACTGGATGCCATTCTCAGTGTTTTGAACGTTGAGTTTTAAGCCAGTTTTTTCACTCTCCTCTTTCAGCTTCATCAAGAGCCTCTTTAGTTCCTCTTTGCCTTCTGCCATTAGAATGGAATCATCTGCAGGTTGTTGATATTTCTGAGGTTGTTGATATTTCTCCACGCAATCCTGATTCCAGCTTGTGAGTTATCCAGCCTGGCATTTCGCAGAGAACTTAGTATTCTA